AGCATGGACTTGGTGGTGGAGGAAGCCGTAACCGACCAGCGGTTACGTGAACCACCCAACGACGGCGAGGAGTCCAGCAATCCTCTCGCACATAACCATCCCTGCATGGGATTCGAACCTGCGAACCCACGCAGAGTAATTAGAGGTGCGGTGGCGAGCGTATTCCTAACGCTTAGCCCGTTGAGCCACACCGCCGAGCACAGAGCTATGATTGAGAGAGGCCGTGGTTCGCCATATATTTAGGCCTTCTTTTCGACTTTCCTCTCCCTTGGATAAATATGTAAATCCCATGTTATATCAATTAATAAATACATAAATAACCGCACTCCTCTTGGCGACTGGTTCATATTCTGTTCTGTAGATACGTTTTCTGTCTAATAGATATGCATTCCCAATAAGCATATGCTCATAGTTGTATGCTTTCAGCGTACCATACTTCGAAACCCAAAATCAAATATGTATTGAAGAATTAAAGACCTCAAGTCAAGTTAATACGGCCAATTTCGCACCCGACTCGGCTGAAGCAAGGGATTTGGCAGCGAGCAATGCGTTTTCTTAATATGCAACGAACCACTTAGCTGGACGACGTAAAAAGGCAGGGAACAATGCCACAATGAGCAAATCTTTGCAAGTTTCCACTCATTGTATATATGCTCATTGCATACTGCTATCATTGGGATTAGCTGACTTTTTCATACCCGAGTAGTCGTGTCAAACCAATTGAACCGCCCTCCCTCAAATTACTTTCTTTCAATTAATAACAGAATCTTTGTATATTTCTTAGCTTTCATTTTTTTTAAGGGTATTTGAACCCGTACTAACCCTAACCCACGGATTTTAGCACCCTCATATAGATTGAACTCGCGAATATACGGGTGCAAATGTATGGGTTCGAATGTACGTGGGTTGAAATGTACGGTCATCTTTCAAATACTCACAGTCACAGACATAAAACTTGGAGAATTGAAAATATGAAAAAAATGACGCGCTACCGTGATTACGAACACTCTAAGAATCATGGATCATGCTTTAATATGACGCAAAAATGGTCTTGTCTAACTCAATTACACCGTCCTCCCTCTGAGCCTCTTGTATACCTCTCCTAAAAAATTTCATAACTTTCTGTTCAAACGTGCTAGAAAATTCACTGCGATCTCGTTGGAAAGCTCATTTACGCGCTTTATGCCAGCCATTTCTCGAGACACTTGCTTCTTTTGCTCAACCATGTCGCGTCGAAAATGAGAAAAAAACATTTGAAAAATGTTTTGTAATTGATATCGATGTGATAAATACAAGCGAGATCGACTCGCAACAGGTACTCTCGAAAAAAAACATTACGTCTTGCAACAAGCCCAGACTTACTTCTGAAGTGCAACGAAACGCTAGATATTCAAGATAGAAAGAACGCGTACAATCTTAACAACTGAAAATTTGAAAGCGGTTGGTCCAGTAGTTGAGGCGAAAAGCCATTTTTTCATAATGACAAATAGAAAAATTTCGTGACCAACAAATAAAACGAATAAACGATACGGCGACGAGGAATGGTTTGCTCTTGCTCAACCAGGAATGAAGGCTAAGAATATAAAGCGCTTCACTATTCCACCCTTATGAATGAGCATTTGTTGGGTGATCCTGACATCATAGAAATGGCTGCGAATGCATGTTTTGTTGGTCACGAAAAGCTGCTTGCTCTCATGCATAAAAGAAATGTATCCACTAATAATGGAACAATAACATCAAACGTTGAAAGGTGCGTGATTACATTCCGTTAGTGAGCTTTTTTGAACTCAAATGAAAACACTCTCTCTGTGATCTAAGAAGTAATCAGACGCAACTTGTGTAAAGTTATTTGACACTAAATTCGAATTGAAATTATTTGTTGCTTTTTTACTTCAAATAAATGAACGTTAGGCTTTTCAATGAAGAGCGCTCCAGAAGTGTATGTACCAGTGGCGGCGCGTCAATAGGGCCAACCGGGGCAATGCCCCGGTTGTTTTTTCGGTATAATAAAAAATATTTGAAAAATACCTCAATATCGGTTGCACAGACTGTCTACACTAGCCATATTCTCCCGACATGGTCATTTTTCGCTCGCAAAGCCTTCGCCGAACGTCGACGGGGCGACGCCGATTTTGCCCCGGTTGCTCATTGTATATCGTATTCTCTCTTTTATCTTCCACTCGCCGCGTTTGTCTCGTTTGTTTTCTGTTTCTTTTACTAAATCATCGGGGCCGATCGGGGCTAGTCCCGAAAAATACCTCAATATCGGTTGCACAGACTGTCTACACTAGCCATATTCTCCCGACATGGTCATTTTTCGCTCGCAAAGCCTTCGCCGAACGTCGACGGGGCGACGCCGATTTTGCCCCGGTTGCTCATTGTATATCGTATTCTCTCTTTTATCTTCCACTCGCCGCGTTTGTCTCGTTTGTTTTCTGTTTCTTTTACTAAATCATCGGGGCCGATCGGGGCTAGCCCCGAAATTATGACGACACAATGCCGACGTTTCTTACAACAACGTGTTGACATATTCACGCATTCCTTCTCGTTCGTTGGTTGCTTGAAGAGTTGATAGTTTCCTCGCCTTCGTTTTTGTCGCTTGTTTCGCTATTTGAATCAGTTAGAGACCTTTAGTCCATTTGCTTTCGATTTTCCACATTCCATTTGAGCTCCTCACTTCTTTCCGGCTTCGCATTTCTTAGCCTTAGACCTCATTATGAATGAGGTTGATGCACTACTTCGCACTCCGTTTTCGCAGCTGCCGCTGGAATAAAAATTAGAGGTACAACGTCTTGGGCCTTATCAACCAAAAAATTGTTCACTGGAACAATCCCATGACGGAGGAAAACGTCGGCGTACATTCTGCGCAGAAACTTGGTATAAAAAACACGAATGGTTGTGTTACAGCGAGGACAAAAATGCACTTTTTTGTTTTTATTGCCTACTTTTTGCTACCGCCCATGACTCACGTTGGTGTAAATTTGGTTTTAGAGATCTTGAACATCTTTCCGAGCGTGCCAGGGATCATCAGTCTTCTATGGAGCATCTGGACAATGCAGTAAAATACCGAACATTCGGAAATGTTAATATTGCGGCACAGTTGGATGAAGGACGCGCGGTTTCTATTCGTCGGCACAACCAAAACGTCGAGAAAAACCGCCATGTTCTCGGTCGATTGATAGATGTTTTGAAGTTCATTGGTTGTCACGAGCTGTCCCTCTGTGGGCACGATGAACGGGCTGGCTCTTCTAATAGAGGGGTATTTTAGGATATGGTGGAATACACCGCATCCCTAGATACAGTATTGAGAGATCATCTTGATGCCGCAACTGTTTCGAAAGGGACATCTAAGGATATCCAAAATGATTTGCTCGACTCAATGTATAAAATTTATTTACAACATTTGGCTCTGGAAATTGAGAATTGCCAGTTCCTTTCGATTCAGTCTGACGAGACAACTGACATCACGTGCGTTTCCCAACTGGCTGTGATTTTTCGGTTTGTGAAAGATGGTAAACCTACCGAGAGATTTCACAGCCCTGTACCAATCCGTTGATCGCACGGCTTGCGGGATATCGGCTGACATATATGCATAAGCAGTTTGTAATGTAACTAACATGATATGGGCACGGCAATTCGCAACGTGTTTGAACATTCATTTAATAACGTATTATTATTTTCTGTGTGCATACAATTTTAAGAACATTGGCCTCATCAATTACATACTTGTTCACCCGTGATTAGCGTTTACCTGATAAACAAAGTGTTATTGACTTGAAATTAATGACTACAGAAATTTAAAATAACAATGAGCAGAATAGTGGTGACACGTTTAAAAATCGATTGGAAATTAGAATTCTCATAGAGTTGAATTCTTTCTTTTGAAGGCATGAAATATTTTTTAGTGTTATATATGTATTTACGTAAATAGTATGTATGCGGTGTTTTCGCACATGAATTTAATATAATGTATTGGTACAAGTCCTAAATCCCAAAACCAGCAAGGATTTCAAGACTCGTGGAAGAGATGCAACAGCAAGTTTCTCGTTGATGCAAACTTTAATGAAATATCTATGGCCCACACTCACAGTCTTCCTCAAAATACTGATATTCGCGACCTACAAACCGACGTCACGCTGACGAAAACAATCGGCAATTTGAACTTAATTACCCCTGTGCAAAGGCTGGTCAATCACCAACAACGTCTGTGCATCTGAAATTTTCAACTAGTCTGTCATTCTCAACCTGGTCCAGACAAGGGGTGTAATTCGCCATGTGGCTAAGTTAAGTCTAAGTTCCTCTACCCTACGATAAATATGAAATTGCATATATCAAAGGTATATGAAAAAGAACTTGATTGGGTCGAAAATCGAAGCATATTTCTGGAGTGGGTACACAAAAGCACTAATAAAATTCTTTACTGTATATATAAATGTTCCATAAGTACTTCTATTTGTTTATTGTAACAAAAGCAATGTATTGGTCTTCATGCTCCTAGTTCAATATTGGGGATAATTTCACACAATATTATTAGATGAAACAGAACAAGGTTAAAAATTCGGTCTGCACACAACAGTGTGGTTAAAGCCACTCAGACAGTGACAGATAAAATGATACTGGACATTTTTGAGAGTAATGAACAAGGTTTAGTACGAGTCAATGAAGTTTGGTGCATAAAATATAGTAAAGTCATGCATTGGTTGGTTGTTAACAAAGCAATACAAATGAAAACAACATTTGTCAATTATTCTCTGCCTTAATATAATGATAAGCATGTAAATGTGCCAAAATATAATGAATTGGAGATGCATATGACCTAGTCTAACTTAAGGTATATTCATACCTGGGTAATTACATTTTTTATATTGCAATGAATGTATGAAAAGCTCATAAACATTTAATACATTTTTACATATAACATCTTTGTCTATGTTTGTGTTCTACAGAATGGAACATATTCAGCAAATGCAAATGAATTTTATTGCAAATAAACGAGAGATTGGTAATAAAGTAAAATGATAAAAATACATTTATTCGGATAGAGATTGGAATTAGACACTTCGAGATATCATAAACTTTATAAATATAAAATCAAACATATAGTCATGTTTATGTAATTTGTACTCAACACTTTTCATACTAACTTCCCATCCAAATAACTTTATTTAACATTAATAGTTTTCTGGAAAAGATTTTTTAAATAACATAAATCAGATAGATTCTGAGTGATGAATGTTTGTTCCCAGTTAATTTAAGCAAATAAAACACATTTCGAGGCCAATGAATTTTTTCTTTCTGTAGGATTGGCCTGAAACTATATTAATAAATATAATACTAGTAATTGGCACTCATTGTTTGATAATATCAATATTATGATATAAAAAAGTTATATTAGATAAGCATACATTTTACAAAATGAAAAAAATTACTTTTCAGTATAAAAATAAACTATATCATATATTACTCATGTGGTGAATAGATTAAATTTTGAAAAAGCTAAACACTCAAGATTTCAGTACTAACATGAAAAAAAATATCAGTAAAAGAACATTAAGTTTATACATTGTCAAATAGATGTCTACAACAAGTTATTAGAAATACATGCATATAATTATACAAAGCTGTTGCTTCTTCTAATATACATCAAATGCTTTCCTATCTACAAGTCAGCAAAATAGTACTTAGAATATTCGGATATGTTGCCAATTCTGATCATTTTAAATCACAAATTTATGTAATGAAGAAGAAATAGATTGTGCAAGAATGTTGAACTCAAATAAATGGATGGGGGCCCTCTGAACATATTCCTAAAAAACAAGGAATCATGAAAAAACGCACCAGGCTAGACGGCAGAGAATATACAAAAGTGGTTGACAGACAAAATAAAATAAATTTCATTTTATTGTGCTGTTGCAGAACAGAAGCAACCATTTCTTAACATTTTTCCAAAAGTCGAGATCAAACAATTTTATCAAGTTGATATGCATTAAGAACATTAGATTTTGTTGTAATGGATGTGTCAAGTTTTGTAATTGCAGTAAATATAGCAGTATTCTTTTTGAAATTTCTGGTGAATAGTCGGTTTCTTTCAACGTACATCACCTTTTCCACTTTGTTCAGTTAATATCTTGATTTGGTTTGCCAGAATCTAGTTGCCATTCAATTTCTTTCAGGACACATTCAAGATGTCTCAAATTATTGATAAGTAAAGCCATTTCTGGGGTTGAAGTTTGTTGGATGAGAGGAACATCACTGCTGTTTGATGAAAACTTCGATTCAGAAGATGAGTCTACACAGTGTTTGCAACCACATCTCTCATCACAAGGATTTTTCAGAGTCGTTTTAGCCTTCGTTTGTATTCTTAATGCCATATTTCCAAGCTTGTTAGAAAGGAACACAGCGTTAGAAAGAACGAGACCATCCAATGGTTCATTACCAATCACCCAAGTTCGGCGATTTGGCGATCTGGCTGATGCATCATGAAATTGAGAGTTTTTCAGCTGAAATTTTTCACTGTCAGGCAAACTGCTGGTGATTGGTAAAGAATTTGTTGAATCTGAATAATATAGTGGGTGGTGACGTTCATATGGTTTTTCATTATTCGGGACGTGTGTATCAAAATCCGTTGACATTGTGGCAGTCTGAAGAGAATCTAAACTGTCCGTCACAATTCTGTCATCACGATATTTCTGAAAATGCAACATTTTACTACTCTGTGTTGAAATATCAACTTCATCAAGAGAATTCGATAGAATTTCCAAATCTTTTACAAGATCATGTGAAACTTTCGCAATTTCTTCACTCATCTCACCATCGGGGGGAGATCGGCTGATTTGATGTTGTTGATGACACTCGCATAGATCAACAGTATTGTTGTTGGTATCACACGAATCTGTGAGTGCACTTGTTGTACTCTCTTTTCTACTATTTAGCATTTGTAATTGATTGTGTGAGAGAAATATACTTGTTCCACCTTCTGAAGTTGTCAATGTGTCTGAATATGAAGTTTGTGAAGAGCAAACATTACTTCTTTTAAAGTCACGAAAATTAGATTTTTGTTTACTGTACGTTTTATTATCAGTAGAATGTCGTCTCGAAGGTTTATTAAATTTTCCATTTCTTTCAATGTTTGAAGATGTGTTTTCAATACTTCCATCAGCAATACGAGCGATCCGAGCACCAAGACTGATATCAGTGTGAGGTGAAGTTGGACTGATGTCAGATGAATACAACATACTGGAACTATCAGTCATGTCAGACAGCCCAGAAACTGAGTCACGCAGCCTAAAATCTCTATGCGATGAAAATATCTTTGTTTCCGAGCTCTGGCCCCGGTTTAAAGACGAAGTTGACCTAGTGTAGGCATTGCTTAAATCATTAGTAAAGGTTTCAGTCCCGGTCATCCATCGGGCAGGAGGTTTAGAAAGTTCTGAAAGACGTTGCTCTCTACTCTCTCTTGAACTCGATTTCGTTTTTGAGTTAAAACGAACGTCTGTTGGAAGTAAATTATTTGCTATAAATTTTAACACAATAAATACAAAAAGACAGATATAAGAAATAAGATATGTAATTGTGCCTTTCTCTTAGGGTTTCTAAACCGGCTAATTTCTTATCATCAATTGTTAAAGGAAACAAATTGAGTTTCTTTAAATTAGGACTAACATTAAGACACATTAAATTAGTGGAAATTGTCGATATGATCTGCATGATTTAGTCTTCAATAAATTGTAGAAATGATTCTCTTGAGTCAATTGTGAAGAGATTAAAATGAGAGATTTAATATGAAGCAATAAAAATGAGTGATATACAAGTTTTGACATAATGTAGACTATAACATATAAATAATTCACCTGCACCTTTCTTTTCTTTGGTTTTTCTCGCTGCCTCATTTGATGTCCTGATAAATAAAGACTCAATAAATAATTCAACATTAGCCATGAATCATGATTATTTAGAGATATTGGGTTTTGATTTGATTTTTGAGTTTGAAACTCATTTCCTGATATGAACATAAATGCAGATTGATCAGGGTTCGACAGTCGGCGTATAGTGCTAGAAAGGCACTTGCCTTCTCACCTCTGATTACCCTGAGAAGATTGCAGGTTTAAATCTGTTTTAATTATGTGCGAGATGATTGATGGATTCCTCGTCATCGTAAGGGGGTAATAGGTACCATCGAATTCATGTAACTGAAACGAATACCTATTTAATAACTGAGGCCATTTTCTGCCACATTATTTATATCTCTCTTCGGCTTTCCTATTCCCAGAATAAATATGAAAAATTTTATCAGTGATTTCCTTTTCCCTCATCACATTTTTTATTCTATATATTATTTAATTTTTCCCACTGTACAGTTCGCTAAATGGAAAACTACATTCAACCCAACCAAAATTAGTTTTGTCTTTTGGAAAAATTATGCATCAATCTTGAAAAGCATATTCCATTCTAACTAATACAAGCAGCAGATTCTATGTTTCACATCAATAAGTAACCATTAGTTCCATTAGAATCATATCAAACAATATTTTATATAATACCAAAGTATTTCAAAGAGCATACCTTGTTCGAATATTTGACATTTGTTTTGCATTGTTTTTTCTTAACAAGGTGGCTCTATTGAGACGCATAACACCTGAATTGGAACCAGGAGATGCAATTCTAAAAATAAAAAATAAAGACGAAATTCAGTATGTTACATTCACATGAAAGCTTTTGAAATATTATCTTTTTATTAATATTTTAATCATGATTACCTTTCTCCACCTTTGCTTGTTGCCATTTTTTCTTTTTTAAAAGTTTCTTCTCTTTGGTCCACCTTTGACGATCTTTTATTGATTTCAAACTGTCTTCTTCTTTCGTCACCTATTTTATCCATCTCATTTGCCAGAGTCGTAGGTCGTACTTCAATTGATTTTTTGTGATTTCTTTTCTGAGATCTATTTCGAGCCTCACTGACACTGCTCGATATCTCAATGTCCGAGGTTGTATCAGGTTCACTGGTGGCAAAACTAGAAGTTGTAGTTGTTGTTGTTGTTGTATTTTTCCTACGCGATCTATCAGTGATGGTTGCAATGACAGTCTGTGTATTCTCCAATAGCAAAGATGTCCCAAGGCTTGACCTTGTGTCCGATGTAAGTGCAGTATCATTGGATGGTGAAGAAGTTTTACTTCTTCGTTTTTTATTCTGAAATGCCAATAATTTTAAACTAGTGAGAAAAATATATAAAATGGAAAACATCACAAGTTTTAAAATTCTTAGAATATTTGAGTGAATTTCCCAAATATGATAAAAGAGCGTGGCCTCTCATTTGGTCACCAAAAACTGTCAACCTCTTTCAACTATCCAGATACATGAACATGATAAGGATTTAATCCTAGAAATATTTTCTTGCATGACCATTCATTGAATCTGCAACATCTATTCAGAGCAATCAGTATGCGACATAAATGTACATTCTGTATGTTCTTAACGCTCGAACATGTAAGCCTATAACATGAACCAACAAGAGCTGAGTATGATACCTCATCTGAAGGTTGATGATCCTGTATAATCGGCTCAATCACTGGAAGTTGATCGAATGGAACCACACCACTTGGTTTTTCTTTGGTAAAACTGCTGGAACGAGACAGCTGACTTTTTGGAGTTCCAGATTTTTTGGATTTCGATGTCGTTGGAAGACCTTCGGATTGTTCTAACTTCCTGGCTGCCGCGTCGATGCTGCTTCTCTTGGAAGTCGTATTTTCAATATTTTTCTGAAAAAAAAAAAACGTTTTCCATTTTGTTGGAATATGTATCGTACACAACCAATTGGGTTCATTGCAAAAAATATTCATTAAGCTATTTAAATATGCAATTTGATTGAATACAAACTTACACATATATATACAATTACATAACTGATTACTTTATGGATTCTCAAAATGTAATTTTCGCTTTCTGTAGATACTTGTCGCTACAATCAGAGCAGCATGCACAACATAGACCCAAGAGTGACTTGCAAGAGAGAAAAATGTAATTAACTTCATTCAAAACTTTCTGAAGGCTAAATGGAAACTAAAGGATGGAAACTAAAACCCGATCACCTTTCCAGTATTCAAAAAGTTCATGCCCAAAATCACGGATTTACCAAACCACCAGTAATATAGCACCACTAAAATTGTTCTATCTCACTGCTGGTTTCTTTTTCACTCTTTTTCTTTCATCATATTTATTCTGGGATACTGATTGACTATCACTACTACTAGAAGATGAAGATGTCGTGCTTTCCTTGGATGAAAATGTTTTTGAAGACTTTCCTGCTGAAATAAAAAAATTATTATTTAAATAATATGCCAAACAATATAGTTTAAATGGAATTCAAATCTACTACGAGTAAAGTAGATACAGTAGTTAGTAGTAACAATAAATTTAGTATTGTATATCAGGTGTATACAATAAATTATCATCTAGATGAGGCACTAATGGGAGTAACATGATATATAATGAAAAAGTTTACTTAATGTAATATTACTCGTAATCAAAAGTCAAAGATTGGAAAAACATTGGGGTGGTCATATCAATTATAATGACAAGACAGTGAGGGGAATTACGTTGATGTTGGAGTTTTCCAAGTCGAAGCAGAAAAAATAAAAGTGGTTTGGAATACCTTTTCCATTGCTTTTATTCATGCTTGTGTTATGTACCAATTTTTGCTTTCCATTCTGAGCTGCATCATTCTAGGTAAGATATGGAAATTATATAATATGGTGAATTTGTCAATATTTTTACAGGCAAAGAATCACAAATAATAATGAAATAAAAGATTAAGAAGCAAATACATTTCAATCCCTTTCTCATCACAAAAATTTGCTGTAGTAGAAAATTTAGGTTGAAATACTGAAATTGTGATATTTCAGTTATTTGAATACACTTAAATTTGGCTCACAATCAAGGTCTATTCCTTGACCAGCCTCGTGTTAGAAATCAACTAGCCCCAAAATTTTATATCTGGGAAAATTCACGAATAAAGTCTTATTTCTAAATTATATTTATTGAATCGGTAAGATTTGCAAATTGCAGCAACTTATTGCAAATTCTTTATTATTTAATTTGTGAACAGTGCACCAGCAGTTGGCACGTCGTGCTAAGTGTTAGGTTTAGAAACATAATTGCCATCACACCTCTGATTATCTTGCATGGTTCACAAGTTCAAATTCTGTGGGAGATAATTATGTGCGAGCAAATTTCTGGACTCCTCGCCGCCTAAGATACCATGTTACCGCTGGTCGGTTACGGCTTCCTCCACCATCAAGTCTATGCAACGAAAACAAATAACTGGTTAACTGATCACAAATTCGACATGAGCTGGTAACCAGATTGCATGCCATGGTTCCCCTTATGATTAAGTAGTCTTGCCAACTTTCCTATCCCCCAGAATAAATATGAAAATCCTGAATATGAAATCCTTTTATACTACTTATTTACTTTTTTTCTTTTGTCAGATTTATGTTGAGATGTTGGTTTATCATCATTGCTGCAGGAAGATGATGATGACGATATACTTTTATTGGCTGAAAGTGATTTTGATAAGCTCCCTGGATAAAAAAAAAAAATTAAAAACCACCACTAAACAGGTAATATAAATCTTGAGTTGGAGCAGTTATACTAAGCAAAATTGGTATCAGCTGAAAAAGTCCCAAAGAAGAATTATATATCAACAGCGTGGTAGAAAAATTGAAATTTATAGAATGAGAATAAAACAAAAAGGTCTCCAGCATTCTAGGTTTATGCACAGCACAAAAAATTACCATTGGTAGTTCTTTTAATGTCCTTTTTCTTTTGTTCTAAGTTCTGATTTTCCTGCTTAATTGAGATATTTTCCTAAATGGATAATAATAAACACAATTTACAGTATACTTTGGATGAAAGAAAATTTGTATGAATTATCAATGAAACATGTCCTATATCCTGAAACTTTGGGTGCGAAATAGAAGATGAGATTGATTTGATGCATAAAATTACTTTCAAATAGTTTATTTTTGATCTGGATTAATATGTAAATACGATTTAGTTTCAAAAATACCCATTGGATGAAGTAATGATGTGGTATTTCGAAAATGTTTCTCAAAGTATATGTCACACTTAACTGATAGCAATAACAGAAACAATAAATTACCGAAGCTTTTTTCTTATTTCCTCTCTTTGGAGACTTGTTTTCACTGGAAGATGATGATGATGATGACGTACTTTCATCAGATGAAATTGACTTTGATATGATTTCTAGTAAAAAATTTCATTTTCACAAAGTCAGTTTGAGTTCGTCACAGATTCACAAACACATATATTTTGTTTGTTAATAATTGTATATTCATTTAGCTCAGTGCTCTTCAAAAGGGGTTCCACGGAACCCTAGGGTTCCGCAATACACGCAGTGGGGTTCCGTGAGTTTATAGGGTTCCGCGTTTTTCTTTTTCAGGGGAAAGTATTTCTTGCTTCCGCGTATTGATGCATTATTATAAATATTCTTAGACCACTGTGTCTCATTCAAACGCCAAGTAGGCCAGTTCGTTAAACAGGAGGTTTAGTCACAGTGCAAATAATAGACAAAACAGAAATATTTTGGGTTGTTGCGTCACTTTAGTCATTGTTATGCATTTAACAAGAACCCTATTGTTCGACCATAGTTACATGATGTTCAAAGTATGTATACATTGCGCGAGACTAGAGAGAGTACATAGTATACTACAAAATAGAGTTGTTGTTCAGCTTTTCGTGTTACGAGTATTTCGTGTTTATTTTTAATTCTGTTAATTGGGGTACCATAAAAAACGAAAAATTATATCAGGGGTTCCACAATAACAAAAATTTAACTACAGTCATAAAAAATTATATTTAACAATCATAGAATATGCCCTTCATATTTATATTAGACGTGAGGACAGCTGACAAATCCAAATGAACAGACATGATTGGTGGAAAAAGCAAAAACTGAACAGCGGTTAGTCATTTAAAACATTCTGCAATTATCCGAAATTACAGGTAGTTCAATAGTATATTCCAACTTATTTCTTAGGCTTCAAATAAGTTCTCAACTTAATAACATAATATTAACTAAACAGTACTTTTGCCTGTCTTTGCAATTTCTTCAGATTTCCTTATTTTTCTAAGCTTTTGTTCATTTCTTTGTTTTGCTTTTTGAGATGAGTCTTTCTCCTGAGGGAATAACAATATAAAATTTTTAACATCATAATAAAAATATTGTTAGGTAAGTACTGAATAGCAATCCACATAGTTTAATAGTTAATGTTATTTGTTACAATTCATTCCAATTTCTATTGTAATTCGAAAATATTTGCACCGATAGCATGTTTAGTTTTAATTGGAATGTAATGTACACAATTTTTGAAAAAAATATCTCTATTAATTATATATATATATTTTTTTAAAAAAAAAATGTTGTCAAAGCAAGTCCATGTGCGGTCATTCAGAAGCAAAGAAAATTGATCTCTAAGCTAAGTTACGGAAAACCACTAAATAATAATAGCCGGTACGAAATATAAGAAAACAAGATGTTACGTTACCAATTCGTGTACTGCTTCAATGTCTCCATTATCTTTTGTCTGTTCCAAATTGGTGTTTTGGCTATCCGTTGCAATACTTCTTGCACTGACAAAAGGCACAGAAGACCTTTTGCTGGAAGTTTTAACATCTCTGGAAAACAAGTAATAGAAAGTTTGAGAGAAATTGTAAGATTCTGATATTGTGGGCTCTTGAGTCGGTCATTTCACTTTCCGCTTGAAATTTTTTGGATTTAATAAACGATAACAATATTGAAAAAGTGGTGGGAAATTTTATAAAATGTAAAATTTACTCCACCGAGAAATTTTTTGTTGTTGCTGTTTTTTTGAATACATTTAATATTTTTATGCAAAAAAAAATTTGATAAATGATTGAGGAAGTTGGAAAAACAAGATTTTACCCCTCTTTGTCATTCCCGGGTAAATGGTCGGCTGGAATTTGTGGTAATGACCTTCTGGATTTTCTACTGAGCTCACTTGATTTCATTGACAACGTTTTTCTAGATTCTACATAAAACAAAGAATATTACTGATAAAAATAAAAATTGAAGATAATTATTAAAACAAGATATCATACACAGTAGGAAGGCCATCCATCGAACCAAACAAAAATGAGGGCGATGGTAAAAAAAATTACTCTCAAGTCTCAAATATATTTATTACCACCAACAATTTCTAATTGTTTGAAACAGTTTTAAACATTGCATTGCAAGTCACGTGTAGATTGTATTTTATTTGGAAGAGTGAATATGACGGTTTAGAGTGAATAAACAATCATGATGAAGGGGAAAAAGTGCCTTTTTCAGGTAGCCAGTTTACAAAAAAAAGAGATAAAATATAGCCGCAGAAATAAACGAATGATTTGAAGCTTTTTCTAATTTAGGAATCTTTGAAATTTAAGTTGTGTTTATCTTATTAATGAATATAATAAGACAAAAGAAATACACAGAAATTAGAACAAATATCAAAAACAAGGATGATATGGAAGCCTTGAAGTTTAAAGGTTTTACACAATGAAAATGGAATAAATAAAAATTGATTCCAAAAAGGTGAAAAATACTGATTCGTCAATATCGGGAATGTATGGCATGTCAGCTATGATTGCTGGTGAAATTTGGTATGAACTTGACTTGGAAACGTTTTATATCACTTACTTCGTAAGTTACTGACATCATCCATTCTTTCAGACTCGGACAAACATTTATTATATGAAGGGGGTGATTCTCTGAAATACAAAATACATTATGTACAGGTTACTTCAAACACAACTATATTGCACAACAAAGTCTTTCAATATCTAATTACTGGCATGTTTTATAGGGTCCACAATTGAACAGGGAATTTATGATTATAAGCGTTATAATCGTCATTTGACTTTTGTGTATATATACTTAAGCATTGCTCTGCATAAATAAAAGTACACCAAACAATAAGTTACAGATAGAATAGGAAGAACATGCTATAGAACTAGTTGTGAATTTTTTTTCACATAAGTATCAACTTAATTTCGAAGATATTTTTCGCTTGAATTTAATTTTCTGAGCATTTTTATCCCAGCCACATTTGATGCTAACAGTTCAGAAAACCATGAGCGGGAACAGTATGAAAAGATTATACAGGGCAATATAACACTTGAATATAGATAGAGCGAAACATTTCCTGATTTTACATAAAAATACATTCATTTACTACAATTAGGTAAATTGATTGAAAGTGAATAAAAGGAAATTGTTAATTTAAGGCAAACAGCATTATGTGCTATGCACCTGTTTACAATTTTTCTATTGAAATTGTTGTCAATGCCTTGAATAGCATTAGTATAATATCAAGTTTCTCTCAAATAATCACAACAAACTAAACAATGATTTATTAGAATATCAGATTACCCGGGTAGAATAACCATATCACTTGGAGTTTTTTGATGCTGTTGAATCCATTCTGACACAAAGCTTGATCTGATATCTTCAGTGTCTTTCTTCTATAAATATAAAGAATTTGATATAATGAGAAATAAAATAAGCAATACATTAGATCCTTCTCGCATAAATACTTGTCAATTGGATAGGATAGGATTTACCTATTTATCCCGGGAGAGAGGAAAGGCGATAAGGTGACTTAATCATATGGCGAAATACGACCTCTCGTGAGCAAATTCCTAACGCATAGCACGATGTGTCACACCACCGGGCCGTAATTGGCTCAATTCATATGAAGTTTTAACAAGATTATACCTCAAGATCAAGAAGTAAACATGGAGATTTCGAGGATGATGATGACGATGAACTTGGAGGCGATGTGCTTACTGAAGATGATGATGCATGACCATTCTTTTTATTAATTTCATCAGCAGATCTTGGTTTTTCATTTTTATCATTTTCAATTATGTATGTTCCTTTGCTTGCTGCACTGCTTTCATCAGATTCATGATCAGGACTAACGGGGTTACGCTTTTTCTTCTTTGAATTGTCTAAAAATGAGTATTATTAGCTAATAATAGGTACATTATATCAATTGGCTTTCTGTGGAACGAACTACTTATCCTTCTTCCATGCCTTTACACAGGTGGATTGATAACAACATAGTGCAAAGATGCTGTGCAAGTTTACTTGTGATTCTCAAACATTAGGCCATTTCTTTTAAATTAGGTTTCCCTTGCAAATAAGGATTATGAATCTTCTGAATAACTAGGCATTGTAAAACAATGTCATTCCTTTTGAATAGCCTGCACCAATCAATCAAAATGGTAAGCTATGTCAAATTTTAAAAATCACCGAATTCAAAAATATAAACATGATTTTGCTGCTGCAAATTAAATTTTGTAGGAAGGAAACCCAATTTTGTTTATTTGTATCAAATACAGTCAAATTCAAATTCCTTTTACACTAAATGAAAATACCAAGATTCAGTGCCTGTTAAACCATGAAATAAAACACATTTTGTTATCAAGACAGTCCTCGAGCATTTTTGGTAAATTTAGGATTAATGAATATAGTAACAACGGGCTAGTGACAGAAATAAATTATTAAACAAACAGAGACAACTAGCTTTACTTTATTGTTTATTTTATGGGCGCTCCCAATCGCAACATTACCTTGACCTAACCAACCTATAAAAATTAATAAAATCGTTTTGATCTCTATGACAACTGAGAGCATACTTCAACCACATTTAATAACTGAATAATATGCGGTAAAGGTAACCGGAAGATAGCCCAAAACTACCAGTAATCTAATTTTAAAATAAATTCAAAATTAGATGTATTTGATGTAGTGAATTCTAGGTTTTAGGTGAATTTAGAATATTTTAACGATGAAATTTATTATTTCGACCTACTACCAACTGGCAGTTAGACCGAAAATAAGTAATATCAATAAATTTTTTTTACCAGTAGAAAGTAGCCTAGAGAAGACGGTTCTGGCTATCACCAATTCAGATTAATATGCTGATCGATCAAAAATAAGTTATTTCCACAACTTTTTTTTCCTATGTTATTTCACTGAAACAACAATTGTATACCTTTCTCCTTGGTAGAATGTGAACGCGATGAAGCTTTTGGTGAATAATGTGGAGAATGAGTTGCTGGAATCTGATCCAAAGTAGCCAGAGGGGTTCCAGGACGCACACGCTCAGCTTTCCTATCTGAATTAGCTACCACAACAAATAAAATGTCAAAAATATTTAGGTATCACTTTGCCTTTCACTAACAAAGACTTCGAATGATCATTCACACCCCATCATGAAGCTAACCTTACAAATTGGGTAAATTTTGTTTAGTCAGTACTTTTCTCTATTTCTTTGGAATCATTTGTTCAAATATTATAAATTTGGAATTCTGTTTGAACAAAATCTTGGGACAAAGGTATGTTTTTCTACCACAATTATCAATGTCATGAATTCAATTCTCTCAACAAAATCAGGTTTTTGTTGTATTTGAAATATGCGGATAAGATTTAGGCAAATCAGTTTAGGTGACAGCTGATTCGGCAACAGCCAAATTAGCAAAACCACTTAAGCATCATATAAATTTGTTTTAATAATAGACAAAAGTATATCAGCTGTTGAACTTGATTTTTTTTATACATCTTACTGTATTTACAAATCTTAGGAATATTTTTTCATTAGCCCGACATATTTTTAATGAGTTTTTTTTTTACCATTTTAAATTTTTATGTGCCATCTTTTACTTTTCAGTAAACCTTGGGAAAATTTTTAAAATGTGTGGCTGGCACCCAAACATGCAACTGTCAGCTGCTGCTTAAATGGTAGCACCAAAAAGGGATTCCAATGTTTCTATTCTAAAACTATCTACTTCATTGATTGACGGGACATTAAAATCAAGTCAATATCATATACACTTACATATAGTGGGTGGAAATCTTACAAAAAGTTACAGACTAGGTTTTAATGAAAGTTGTTGTTTTATATCACAAAAAACAGATTTTGGGGAAATTCCTTCATTTAAAAAAAAACAAAATTTAAAAAGTATTATGGTGATTTTCTCAAGGTCTATGTCAAAACCTAATAGAAAATTTGTCTGAAAATTTGGAACCAAAGCTTTTTTTTTGCACAATACTTTAAGTTAAATAGAGTTGTCACACGCTTGTGTTTTATCGCCCTGCTACTCAAATCAAGTGATTGACTATGTAAACCACACACATAAAAATGTTTGGCACACAAAGTTGTTTATACCTTATTTATTCAAGGATGCCGACCCATGTTATGGATATTTCATATATCTTATTTATTTAAAGTTGCCAACCCATGCAATGGATATTTCATGAATATTATTAAACTAACTCATGTCACTTACATCTAATAGAAGATGACTTCTGCGTCAGTTTCTTAGGAGCATTAACAGAGAACCAGTCATCAAGTTCATCATGTTTTTTCTGAAAAAGAGTTTTTGAGTGCGAGCAAATATTTACTATCGAGCGCACATGAACATTATATAGTTATTTAAAAATTATACAGTATATTCGATGCCACTCTTTGGAGCTGATGTATTACTTTCTTTTATAATAAAAGTTCATGAAATACTCTATAAAAGGCAAAGGGAGAAAGATGGTAAAACTTGAATGAAACAATACCTGAATATTTGTTGAATTTGATACAATTTCAATAAATCAATTGATTAAACATTTTTTTGCAATCGTTTATACGAATAGTACAAAATATTATGTTTGGATCATCGAAAATAATTGCAGATAAATTTCATTGCTACATCTTGAATTCATACTTTTACCTACGCTATCTTTTAGCTATGAAATATTAAGACCTACACCATTCTAAACAGACAAACAAACGTAAATAAAATGCTGATTTGAGGAGAAAACGTGTAATAGTTGATCATGATAATGTTATCAACCAATAAATATAACAACTAGTTGTCAAACAAACACTGGCTTAGCTAGTCCTATATCGATAAATTTCAATTCTTACAGTTTCTTCAGGTTGGGTAATATGTGATTGTTCCATGTGTTTCTCTTTTGAAGGCATTTTCTTTTGTAAGACTTTTATGTGGTTATCCTTTGTACATATAGTCTTTTGTGATGAATCTGCTTTCTTTCCCTTTGTATGCATGCTCTTTTGTGTTTCTTTGGCATCTTTTATAGTGAAAATGAGAATTAAATTAAAATTACAAATATGAAAAGTAATTTCAAATCTTTGTTTTCAATATGAACCTAGGTCATTGGTTGACAGCTTACACCATCAAAGTAAAAAACTGCATAATATATTATATATATTTAACACTGCCTTTATTCTGCATATTATGAGTGCTATGGTATAGTACAGCCTTCACTTATATTTTCAGAAAAAAATAGATCAGTTTACTGAAAGTGCACATGCATTCCATCTAGCTACTGTACTTTACACTCGATGGAAAGTCAAAATTTTCAGTTAAAAGTAAAAATGGGTGCAAATGCCAATCCAGTATGCCAAAAACTAAATTGTATTTTTTGAATCTATAGTCAGCCATGGTCTGAGCTGTATTTTTGATAGATTCAGGAGTTGAATAGAACTTTTCCAATTTCATTGCCCATCAACAAACAAAATCAATCACAAATTCTAAAACGGATTTCAAATGTGTTGAGTACTGGTATATTTACCAAGTTAGATTGAATTACCACCTATCAACACATTATTAACACTACAGTATGTATGGGGAAGGGCAATATACCGAGGGCGTAGCTATACAGGAATTATCTGACAAACATATTATTGAGAGCTCGTAAAATTTATGGTTTATTCGTAGTAAAATCAATCATAAAGAAGTATACGATCAGACTTGTCAGAAATATATAATCGTTACACATTTTGAAATAAAGCCTGAAAGTTTTTAGTAGCTAAACGAATATTCTTGCTGGGCACCTGATTACCATGTGCAGGTTCGAGTCCATTGGACATATTTATAAATGAAATGATTGCTAGACTATTCATAGGGTGGTTCATGTAACAGCTGGACAGTTGTAGCTGCCTTCACCATCAAGTCCATGAATCTTAAATGAGTAACTGATTGATCATACCAGATATCATGGACTGGTAACCTGACAAGAGGTCGTGGTTCAGTGTCTTGATGGCTTTTCTCTCCACTGAGATGAATATAAAAATTTTATCCCAGCTGAGTAAAAATTTCAAATGTCACAGTCCTGGGATTATTTCTAAAAACATTCAAACTCAAAACAATCGAAGTAAAATAAATATTTTGGATCATTAGCAAACCTGACTCAGAAGAAGAAGATGATGATGATAATGAGGACGATGATGATGATGAAGAAGACGAACTAGAACAACTTTTAGATAGAGATGATTTACTTTTTCTTATTGAGGAATTGTAAGAACTAGATTCCTTTGAAATTTGGACGATTTCCTGATAAAAATTTACAAACAGTTCACTCTCATGAAAAATGGAATAAAACAATATACTAACAAAGGCTTGGCTGTGTGGCACACCATGCTAAGGAATTCGCTGGCCACCGCACTGATGATTCCTTGCATGGGTTTGCAGGTTCGAAACCGTGCAGAGTTAATTATGTGCCAAAGAATTGCTTGATTTCTCACCGCTGTAGGGTGTTCATCATCAAGTTCATGCATATAAAAACAAATACCTGGCTAACTTTCTTTTTTAGAAAAAACAGACAAAGAATAAAAAATGCACCTTCTTTACAAATACTTCCTTTGCATCATTTCCAAACTTCAAAGTATCACCTTCCTTGAGAGTGATGTAAACTTGTGGTGGAAGACAAATATTGTTCAGATATGTCTAAATAGTCGCAAATATTAATGATATACAAATGTTTACTAAATATGGCAATTGATCGAGATTTGCAATTGTAAACAATAATGATAGGCAGCTAGGTAGTGAATTCCCAAAAATTGAAAATTTGTTCAAGAAGAAATATTTTAAAATATATAATATAAGTGTTGAACCTTATTCATTTTTGACAAGCTATATGTTTGTATTTTATTACAGCTTGTTACATCTATCCCTGAAATTTTGGGTTTGATAACAATTATCGAGTGTTTAAAAATTCCACATGATTTGACAAAATTTGATCTCAAACTACTTCAGAAATGCCAAGTATTATCTATTTCCAAAACGTGAGGCTTGTTTGAAATTACCAAATCCATCTAAGTGAATTCACGAATACATTTCATAATAGGAGAATCAAGTAATAAATCATTTATCAAGTTTAATGAACGTTGTGTAACATAGCAAACTTGACACCATTAGATATTTTTACCTTTGTAAACTGATGTCATCAATCACGCATGCATTATCCTCCAAAGATATGGTGCTCCTCAACTTGTAGGAAAGATCAAACTTACGCATTAAATAACAAGTAATATAGCTCACCCCTTTTTCCGTTCCGAGGTCTTTGATTTTATAGACATTCTTCTCTGGGTCATATTTCAACTCGGCATGTTGCTTGTCCATAGAATTCACCTGAATATTAGAAAAAATATTAACAGCTTGAGAGGCTGATTATACAGGCCTTGTTTACAATGAAAAGCATCATATAACAAAAATTATTTATTTGGATTTCTCAAGCATCTAAATTTTGAATGTACAACCTACTGAATGTTTATTTCAAATTGTATTACTAAAGTTCATTTTAATTCCAGTGACATGTTTGTGACGTGGCAATATTTGGCATTGTCCACAATATTTTAAGCCATATATGCTGAAATGACAACAGTGGATGGTTACTTTTGGTTTATCTGTTAAGACTGTATTCCGAGAGTTTTGAGGCATTGTCCAATTATTCTTTATTGATCGGCATGTTACAGATTACTGCACACTCATGTCGAACTTATTTTCGATAATTACTTAGTACAAACTATTCAATAGCAGTGAAATTAGCACACAGAATAGAGTATAAACACTGATATTAACTAAGTGAAATTTAATTAAAAAAGTCAAATCAAATTAAAAAATATTTTTCAAATTTTTTTTGGAAGGAATATACTTTTTTGCTTAAATTTTACCCATTATTACATTTTACAAATGAAGCAAAGTGTTAAAACAAATTAAAACACTTCATGACAAGTTTAGTTGAGGTAACAAGCAGCATACGGTGGTGTTTCACCGTATGTTGTGGACTCTTGTCACCTGAGGGATTGATGAAGTGTCATGGAAAATATTGTGCAACATTGCTTTATGCCGAGGCAAAACATAGTATATTATTGATAGATCAATATATTTTTTCAATTTAATTCAATTCGTTTATTACTCCAGACCGCTGTGGTCCATATAAAAACAACACAACAAATAAACATAAGCAAAACAAAAATAACGCAATAAATACATAAAATACCTGATATAACAATCAGATTCACAGTAAGTCTCAAAAAAGAGTTATAATATAGCAATTTAAGAGACCAAAAGTGAGGTATAGAATCTAAGGTAGCCCGTAACAAACAGTATCTGGGAATCAAATAATGATTGTAATAGAACAATAATAGAATATTATGATGGAGATATATTGTATTACCAATGGTAGTAAGCTATACACCTGAAAATATTATTTTCCTAGAATATGTCAGAAGTCATTATCATTGTGAATAAAATAATCTGATAGTGAAGTACAAAGAAGGTAATGTATATGTCAGAATGTTCTGAAGAAATGTTACATATTCGAGTATTCATTCTGATATTAGACACATACAGACATAAAAGAACTTGCATGCTAGAGAATTATTATTTCACTTACCTTTTTACATACTTTAAATGTTTTCTGGCAAATAAAAGTTGTTTGTTGTGGCAATATGGAGTTTTTTCCTTTGTTATTGGAAAGCATCCATTTTAACTCAGCCATTCTCTGATTCTATTTAAAGATTCAAAAGAACTCCGAAACTTATATAGCAGTATAGATATAAACGAGAAACAATTACAAAAAAATTACAGAATCAATACGGTACCTTACCAGTCAATGTCGGGTACCGTATGGGATTAATTACAGAAATATCCTAAGATTTGTTGCTTTGATCACTCTCAGCTCTAATTCCATTTCGTGTTATACGGTAGGACTACCTCACTGTTGTCTGTTGACAGGTTGATAATTGCGGCAGTTGCATATTGCGTTTTCGGTACTGTGCATGCCATCATATAACAATAAATTACCGTACCGGTACTGTCGGTGTCGTACTACTCAATTACCAATACCTACTCTGAAAACCCGTTGAAGTTATTTTATCAAACAAATTTTCATGCTAGCAAATGGCGAATTCGGGGAATCCCCTTACTGTTGTCGTGACGACAGATAACATCTTCTGTTAAGGGCATTTAAGCATCCTGCACGAATCGCGGTATTCTATGGAGTCAGAGACATGTAGCATTCATGATTGAAGACTATATCAACAAATAATTCCTGTTACTCCTGTCGTAGCTTATACTTTAGGTATTTCATCCATGAAATTTGTTATTAACTTGGCATATTTCCTAAAAAGAGAAAAACATAATGTGAACAAAAAAAAATAATATCAATCTTTTATAACATAGCCGCTGAATTTTATTAAAACCTATTAACTCCCAAGACAAATTTAAAGACAGAAGATATAAAAACATATTTGAAACACTGTACAGGCGACAAAATGTGATACAAAAATTGATTCACCACAATCAAAAAGGATTTACTAAGGGAAGATATATTGGCGAAAATGTAAGACAATTTTTTAATGTTAGAGACTTTTTGAAATATAAAGGGCTTCCAGGAATAGCACTCAACTTGGATATAGAAAAAGCTTATGATTCTGTTTCATGAAATTAGCGTTGAAATTTTTAAATTTTGGTCGAATGTTTATTAAGTGGGTCAACCCTTTATATTTTCAAAGTCAAAGCACTGTTGTTAATAATAAATATAGATCAAGAATGTTTCAAGTTATGAACGGTTTGAGGCAAGGTTGTAGTCTCTCATCATATATGTTCTTATTAATAATTGAAACATTTGCATGTAGAATGCGACAAAACCATAATATACAAGGTATGTGTCTCGGAAATACATAAATTAAAATTTCCTCGTTTGCAGATGATGCAACAGTATATTGTGATGGGTCACAAAAAAGTATCAAAACAATATTTTCGGAAACCGATATTTTCTTTACCATGTCTGGGTGCAAAATAAATATGAATAAATGCCAAGCATTATACTTGGGTAAAAATATTAATTGCCAAATTTTTCCTATGCAAGGCAAGACCGAGGTCTTCAGTGGAACCCTAGCTGTTTTAAAATCGAAATGGATTAAACAACTACGAAAAAGTAAAAACTACATTTAACGCTACTTCAAACTATTACAGTTCTGTATGAGGAAATAAAGCGATACATGCAAAAGTCTATATTGACTGGCTAATGCAGTCTTGGAATGTCATAAGACTCATAACGTCGATAACGATTATAAGAGGGTTTCTACTATCCTTCCAAAATCACAAACGATACTAATCCAGCAAGAATTCAATTCATTAGGGCACGTCTGTTGCACGGAGATAGAATATAAGTTGAAGTACAATTGCATGAAATTTTGAAGTGAACCATTCATTACCATAGAAAATGCGTTTCCAGATATAGGCCTACTTACATCTAAGTCCAACTTGAAAGTTTTCGTTGAAATACCATAATACACAAGACAATTAATTTCTCACCCAAAAATGTTTGCAACATTCTTGCTCACAATTCGATTTCATGCGGGATTGCTTTATTGTGGAGAGCGGAAAAGTTAGTAGTTTACCTGCTGCGGAGGCCAGGTACAGTCTTGGAGGCAAAGTGGCAGCAGCCCCGGGCAGCACGTTATAGGGGTGAGTTTGTTGCTTAGTTTGATGATTTAAAATTTTAATAATAATATTACAAATATTTTAATCTCACTCGACCGTTAATTTATTTATTCCCATGTATACCAACATCCATAATTTGTTTATCCCCCATATTATTTTTGAAGTTAGGTTAGGTATAAGAGACAACATTATCAGAAACTCTCCCCGGGCAGCAGGAAAGTTTGACGCGCCACTGCCCATATACCACAAGGTTGATTGAGTAAGTTTTTTTTCAAAAACGTACCAGTCACCGCATCTTCAGCTGACCAGTGAAAGTCACGAGCAATTCAAATTGATATTGGCACTATTGTAACCAGTGCAGTGAAAACGGTGCAATTGACATTTAGTCCAAATTGCTCTTGGCTCTTCTTATCAAAGATGGGTAAACTGGTACATGTATTCCCACAACATTTTTAGAGGCTTTGCCAGTTTTCCGATTTCCCAATCGTGTTCATTGTTTAGTGTATCTGGGAAATCAAACCTATTATACTTGCTGGGCATGCGTATCTTGTTCGGGAGCATGATGGAAGTCTGGTTTTAATAGATTTACTGCCACTGCAGTCAAAAAAAGCAAGGCTTGCGTAATGCAAATTCGGCATTGGATCAAGTAGTGCAATTTGCGGCACAATAAAAAACTATCGAAAAACATTCTGTCATTCAATTTTTATTTGCTAAATTGGTAAAAATGAGTGCAATGAAATAAATGGGAATAATTCTTCTAATGTCTTTAGAGGAGTTGTTGTGAAATGAACGCTCTGTCTGCCTAAATCATTCGTTATCCCTTGAATTTGATTTCAGCCTTCGATGGCGCAAATATACGACGAAGTATGTTGATGACCAAATCTCAACATCCTCGGGTCTTAACCACCACAAGCATGCATATTTGAAACAAATTCATACAGCAAAAGCGATTTGCTAGCGTATGTTCAACTTGAACCCAGGCCTGAGCATATTCAAGACCACCCACTGACAATCCCTGGTGCCTGAAGGGAAATAATCATTCTAGTGCATGTACTGAACGCGATATGGAAACTACCACGTTTTACAAGCACTGATGGGTTTTCCATTACTGAATCGATTGACGTGCATCAATAAATCAGGTACAGGAGTATGATTCTACGAAACATGGTATTTTAACGTTGCTAGCAAAAGACTATACATGATATATATGGAGTAAAAATTTATAATTCACTTCCCAGATTTTATAGGAGCTCCAAAATATGAAAAATAATAGATGGTGCAAATGAAAAAAAAAATGAATTATACATAAACAATAAAATTATCAGTGTTTCTACTCCTTTTTTTCCTGTTTCTGATTCGATCTGTGTGTTCTTTATTCTGGAGTTGGCTTGAGTGATCGTAAGATGGGTTACGTTCCGCTTTGTTAGAATTCACACCTGCATTGGTATATTTATTAGTGCTATTTTTCATTTCTGCAGAAAGACACGCATTATCTAAATTTTTGCTATTCGCATTGTCTTGCTTTGATATTGTTTTAATGTAAACAACTTTATTGCTTACAAACTCTTCACTAACTTTTGAATCGACATAATTGTCGCGTAATACTTCTACGTGGTCAGGCTCATCGTCAATTGTATCTTCTCCTACTTCTGCTAGTTCTTGTGATGAAGCTGTTCGCCAGCTATTATCATTATTAACTCGGCTTGAATCACCGCTACACATAGACATATAGTCTAATACTGCACCACTTTGTACTTGATTTTCTGTGCATTCTTCATCAGAATGATCGGACTGTATTATTGGAACATCACATTCAACATTCTTTGGTTCTTCAAACATGTTGAAATACATTGAACTGATGTCATCCACACTTGAAATATCATCCAATGGGCTAACTACTGGTTGCTCCTTTTTCTTCAACACCGAAAGGAGTATATTAGTAATAGATTTCATCCTGAAAACAGAAAATATGACTTGAGTGATACAGTTTAATTGTTGACGCGTTGTGTCCGTACAGCCTAAATGGATGTTCAAGATATTGTCTAATTTTAAAACAAACTGCGAATTAAAGCCAGGACCATTTTTGACCAGTAAAAAAAGAAATAGCAATTTTCAAAAAAATAAATAATTTTCTATATTACGCGTAATGAAATGAAAGGCCGTTTAGGTCAATTTCTATTGTCTCTTCAAATTGTCATCCGTAAGCTAGATTATTCTCAGAAGAGAATTGTTCACATAGTATTAGCATGTAAAAACGCCCTGAATTGATCCTACCTATTCACATACTTTAGGCTACTCTGTTGCGTTCGATCCTCTGATGGCAGTGCTTTTCGAGCGTGTTTAGCACGTGTGGCATTCCCCGAAAGGACGTTGTTGTGTTCTTTATTTTGAGTAGTTTTGTTATATTTTTCAGCAATGTGGTTTGTTTGCTCCTCATTATCTGAATGTTTTGCAGCGTTGTTTTCAGATGAAATTTTACTTTTGATAGCGGCTTCAGCGATGTTGGAGCTTGCGTCTACAAATGGGTTGGCCGATCCTGAAATTTATATGGACAAGGTTAATTGTTAAGATAGTTTTCACTTTGACTCGGTTCGGTAATCTGTTGTAGTAGAACGTGGTATTTTATCCTAACTTCACGTTTACTTGTTATCTATTTTTGACACAGAATCTACTGTGAACCATATTATGGTACGCCAGAACACGAAAAGTCATTTTTGGATGACCCTACCTGAAGTTGCTTCTCCCAATCGGATGCTCGGTTTAAAATTTGTTGGATGTGGCTTTTCTTTGTCATTGTCCGAGGATGAAATTTTCCCTCCATCTTTGTTAACAAATTGTTTACCACGAACGATTTGAACAGGCCTGGGTAAACTTCTTGCTATTTCAGCTCCGTCACTATCGACTATAGAGAGCACCTAAATAGTGTGGTGCAAACTATATTATTGACACGTTACAAAAAATGGTAGTTTGCTAAGACGGTCTAAGCATATAAACCAGAGTTAATTGATATCAGATGACAGTCAGTTTTTGAAAAGTTTGGAATTGGTTCGTCGGGCAATAGATCTTAGCTCAATTCGATTATGCACAATATTCAAGGAAATACATAATGTCGAATTGTTCGCTCAGTGATGAACGACATGTGTTTTTAATTAACTCTCTTATGAATTGATAGAATCTTCAAATGTAAGTCGTAAACTGTAAAATATATACTATCGTTAAGTCGCTTCGCATCAACAATAACTTACAACTTGTGGCGACGACATAGATCTTTGTCGTGCACTTGTTCCGACAGACGATGCGCTTGTTTGCACAGATTCTCTGGGTCCTATGGATATACTGTTCGACTGAACCGAACCTCCTGCTTTTCCACCAATCGCAGCAAAAATGTTTGCAATATCGTCGTCAACTGGAATGTTATATTTAGATATATTTTATATACAAGAACAGAGAACCGTAACCCTAAAAATAACCTTAAAAATTGTTAATGTTTACAATACTACCCTAGTTATCAGCACCATGGTTAAACCATACCATAACAGTATTCGGTATTCATGAATGAATATTATAGTATAACATAGTTGATAAAAAGTTGACATACCTTCTGAATATACTTGATTGCTATTGTTAGATTTTAACATTTTTTTCCGTTTATTCATTTTTCTATGTAGATAACAACAACCGCTTATTGTCGCTACGAATATTATAACAAACATTCCGCCTGATACACAAATTGTCAACAAAATTTTGTCATCCAGTTCCACTTGTGTGTAGCACACCTCGGGATTTATGTCTGAAGTGAGATACCATTAGAAATATGATGCTGACGTAATGAAAAGTGCTTGAAATTTTGAATTTTTTTTTGTTTTTCTCAATATGGCTAGGTATGTCGTCCTTCATTTTAGCAAATCTAATATCGATAATGAGTTTCAAAAACGAAATGCCTTGAAATGCAACAGATGTAGTGATTAGATTATTTAAATTGTTATTTCCAGCTTGTGTATTCGAAGAACAAAAAGTGCAATTATCTTTGTTTATATATGAATTACCAATGCCAAGTATTTTCTGTCCTTCAAAACCATCATAACAAAAATCAGTCTCGGAGCAATAAGGTTTCTCTAAATATGCTCCAGACAAACTTTTTTTGCACCAAGTACATCCAACGACACTGGAACAGTTGAAGTGTGATACCTAAAATAAGTTTCAATGATATAGTTAACTTCTCAGGATAAATTGCTGCTTTCCTAATCGGCTCATCTCCGTTTAAGTAGATCACAAAGAACAAGCTGAACCCATTTAAAAGTGTTCTAATGTTTGCTTCATTCAGTGTGCCGCCGATGTCGAAAAGCTGTCAAGCGTGATGCAACAAGTGTCACACTAAATGTCATTTGTATTTTTTTTCTTTTAATAGAACGACTGAGTTGAGTTCCTATTGTCGAAGTCTTCGCGCGCTGTTCGGTTTTTAACTTTCAAAAAATTTGTGCGGTCCGCCAAGACTTGCAGCTTTTAATTTTGACCCGCGAGCGACAAAAAGGTTGCCGACCCTTGATCTCTATACCTATGACGTTACAATGCCCTGGCAGCTAGCTTGTGCGAGGCAAACAATGCGTATCATAGTATTCATAACCAACATTTTTGTGCCTGCAACTACTACAAAGCCTATGTTAAATAAAGGTGCGGCCCGCGGTTTCATCCAGTTATTTTTAACTGGCACTCTTGTATTAAAGGTTGCACACCCTTGGTTTACATGCATATTAGTAGGGACATTCTTACCAGTTTCTCGCATTTTGGGTCGTAGCAAGGTGGCAATGAGTCAGCATAACAATCGTTTTCAACAACTTTACATCGATCTCGAAATGGATAGCAGGCTACGATATCAACACCAGCCTAAAAGGCAAACCATAAAACTAAGTCAGTAAAATTTATCAGGAAATATTTTTGGATTTAGTACTATGATGAGGATGTCCGAATAAGCATTAATATAATGCGTAAATATATATAAAATCAAAAAGAAAAGGTATTTCATAAGACCAACTCTTTGAAAAAATAACAGCGTCAAAGCCGCAAATGTCACATAAATACTCACATCAACGAAGCTGGTACAGCTGTTTATCGTGAGATCAGCTCTACATGGGCATTCGCATGTTGTGTTTGACCAATCATCGTGTATAACACATTCCGTGTGTTGACTGCATGGCTAAAGAATCGAAAAACACTCATAGGCTACCAAAATTTGCCCACAAATTTTTTTGAATGAGGTATAATTCGTTGAGGCAAACCGTATACGTTTTATTACTTTGATAAAAATATCGGAATATTTCCAAAAGTTGTTTCTCAAGAATATTAAAGCATTCAAACAGGCCATAGAGAGCGAAAAAGGGTGTTATATATATATATATATATATATATTGCGTTCAAATATTTGCATACAAATAACTTGTTTCGTAAACTCAACACCATGGAACTCAAAATGGAGTTAGGATGGCATGAAGTAACAATATCGACGTCACACTGTTACCCACAGGTGGTTATGTAACAAACTTTACTATATCGTAGTTGTGCGCCACATATTGCATTGTTCGTCGTATAGTGAACATTTGCTATTTTTACCTTGTTGAATTTGACACATGTATGATAATAACAAGAACTGTGGGATTCTCTTGCTACGAAAAATATGTTGGTGTTGGGAACTGCTTCCATGTAGTATCGTTTGCATTTGTCCCTGAAATATTAATAAAAATTATAAATAAGCAAACGAATAAATTATGTTCCCCACTAAGAGGAAAATGATTATTAGTTGATAAGCGATTCATCATCATTATCTTATCTCATATCAAATAGAATGAAAAGAATATTGGAAATAATTGCGCAAGTTTTCCCAAAAACCTATATTAAATAGAAATTTCTATAAATTTTGACACACAAGTCCACACATGTAAATACCACCATTAGGCAGTAAATATGACAAGTAAACCTCAATTCAATAAAATGAGTACGCAACCTGTGTTCCATTTCATTCACATAAGCATTTTCAATCAGAACGTATGTAACTTTGTACTTTGTTGTCTCTAATTCAAGACACCTTGCTCTATACATTAAACCTCGTTGGAGAAGAATTTCCGATAATGGACCATCTTCGCCTTTAAAAAAAAAATTTGAAAAAAAAATTGGATAAAAAGAAAATAAAAAGGTTGACAACGATGGTCCGCCTCGTGGCCCATCGTTGTCACGCGTTTTTATTTTTAGAAAATTTGATGCTGCTTGGGACCAACGTTGTCAGACTTAATCCTACACGCACAAATGTGTTTCCTGGGTTTCTAACTCACTACTGATTTTCATGACCAATATCCAATAAATTCAACATGAAAATGTTCTACAAATTCTCCATGCTACAAGTTCAACCACAAGCAATATATTTATAATAAGGATAAGAGAATATAGAATTGGATACGAAAATTTGTTTTTACGTGTAGAAGGAAATTTAATTGGAAAATGCTGCTTAACTGCTCAGACGCTCGTGCGATGCCGGTACGGTATCGTCTGACCGTACCGGTACCCATGCAATCACTCGTGAAAGAATGGGAGATGATGAGTGATTGTATGGCTACCGGTACGGTCAGACGCAAAGCGACTATAACCGACTACCGGTATTTGGTAAGACGGTACGGTACCGGCATCGCGAGTGTCCAGACAACTGAGTAGTTAAGCAGCATTCTCCAATTAAATTACCTTATACACGTAAAAACAAATTTTCCGAATTTTCGTATTCAATTCTATATTCTCTTATCATTATTATAAATATATTACTTCTTGTTGAACTTGTAGCATGGAGAATTTATAGAACATTTTCATATTGAATATTGCTCAAGAAAATCAGTAGTGAGTTTGAAACCCAGGGAACACATTTGTGCGCGTAGGATTATGCCTGACAACGTTGGTCCCAAGCAGGAGCAAATTTTCTAAAAATAAAAACGCGTGACAACGATGGGCCACGAGGCGGACCATCGTTGTCAACCTTTTTATTTTCTTTTTATTCAATTTTTTTTTTTAATTTTTTTTTTTTTTTTTTTTTTTCGTTTTATTTATTTATTTTTTTTTAATTTTAATTTTTTTTTTCATTTTTTTTTTAATTATTTTTATGTTTTTTTACAAAAATTTTTTTATAATCGGTTTTTTATTTTATTTTTCATTTTTATTTTCAATTTTACGCGTGACAACGATGGGCCACCATACAGGTGCGTCCCCTCAAAATTACAGTAAGTAACTATAAGTTCAAAATAAAAAATGAACTAATCGCAAGTACAACTATGAAAGTTAGTTTTAGCATCAACCTTATCTTTTTACATATTATTCTTCATATTTTTCTCTTTTACAAACTGTACAAAGTACAAATAAACGTACAAATATATAAGATTGATTCACATGACAAAGTTTAGCACTTACACGGATGTCAGATGCCATTATACATCATTTTCAATAGACTGAATAAAATCTTTTGCCATAACAAGTAATTAGACAAAATATTGTACTTGTGTAATTGTCTACAAACATTATGTAAAAAAAATAGTTGCCTGTCGTTGGCCTCCATAAATCCTTGAGTAGGTGGTTTAACGCCTTAATTATAACACAATCTTAATCTTTTTACCTACCAAAGTAGGTGAAGCAGAGCAACTTATATCAGTATATGGGAATAATGATCGTGATTTTTGAGAAAAATTCGAAATACTATTGGCCCACGTTATTGCATATTAAGTCTATATATAATTGGAAACAGCATGTTATGTTGAGTACAGCTTCGAATTTATAGTATGGTAACACGACTTGATTTCCAAAAGATATGATTGGTTTTTTTTCAAAAGATTCATTACTACCAAAATTGAGTGATACACGATGATATCTACAATACATGTCAAAATCACGTGACCCGGATCTCCCCGAATAGATTTGTCACAAGCTTATGACGCAAACATATGCGCGAGGTGACGTACTGTTGCTGCAGACAGTTTGTGTGAACTTCATGACAAAGCCGCATTGCTTCAAAACTTTCGAGTACTCCAGGCTCATCAATGTCAGGCAAAGAAATACAACATCTCAATGAACTGACGAAACATTGATAGGGCCACTATTAACAATTCGTCTCAAATTATCTTATTCGAGAAATTAATTCCTTTATGTATAACTGCAATCGGTAATTTGATTTTTTTAGCTTAAGTGTACTTACCGGTAATGTGTTTTCTTTCCGGCGAACCTGATTCTGTATAATCTTGATGTAAAACTAAATATCCTCTGATATCCATCAGAATGCAATGCCATCTAAAATTAATTTAAAAACAAAATGTTTATTTGTGTATCCCCTATAGACACGCATGTTATGTCATTTACTTCAACTGGTCACTGTATCAAACCTCATTTTGCACATTGGATAAAACTCAAGAAGTTTTGCATAAATATATGTAAGTGACAAATCCATTCCCATCACACCAATCACTTTCTTCTCGGTTAATCCCGCGTTCTGTGAAAGTTGAATTTTTCAATTTTGTTATGTAATCGTAATTCAAAGTTAATAAGATACTTTTAAGGTTGAAGATTTAAATCATATCTGTACTAGAATAATGTAGATGCAAGTGTAAAATTGCAAAAACAAATAGAATAGAAGGTCGACAAGAGGAAGGCTTAATTTTTCTAGACTGAGAAGTTAGCCGGTAATGTAAAAATATCTGCATATTTTCAGATTTCATATCTTATGACAGAACATGTCTAAGTTCAGCCTAAGTTTAAGTATGTAAGTCACCATTATAAATTCTAGATGAATTCATGTGACAAACCACGCACTTTTTACAACCATACAATCGTGCGTATAGAGTACCTTTCAACAACTCAGATGCATGTATCTGAGACGAGAACCATGCAATGGCGACATTAACTGTAATAACCGTAAAGAAAGCCTTCGCCCGTCACATGATTAAGTCGTTTTATCAACTTTCTTCTCTCTCGAAATAAATATAAGAATTTATTACTTTAAATGGAGCGATGGTGATAGTATTTTAATGTAACAAGTAAAAGCGTATTACTTTGTAACAGATATTTTGCTTAATAATAATTATGGAATCCTAAGTTGATCTTACCCAATCGTTAAGTGGAATTTGTGGAGTGTGTACAGTATGACTTATTGTTATGACATTTCCTGCACCAGCAACATCTTTATAAGGAAGTGAAAATACTCGCATGTCTGGATAAGCAAGTGCTAATTCATACCTATAAAAAAAACAAGCCATTTCATACAGTATAAAAATTAAAAAAGTTCCTACCATCGCGTTGATCTTAATTTTTGAGTCAATAAGCGAGATACACGTGGAAAATGTTAAATATCGGAGGCGTATTAAATGTATATATATTATGAGAGTGTTCCGGAAATTTTTTTTACAATTTCGGCGTGGGCTTTATTATTTCATATTTTATTTCTTTAAGGGTGACGTGATAAAAAAATTTGTGAAAAATAAATATTATCTAATTATCTAAATTTTTCCAGAAAGCGCTACTGTGGAGTAAACTAAAAAAGTAATCTTATCGTTTATTATTTCCATATCATGCTGTTGAACAGTTGCAACAATATTGTGGGTTTCTGTGAAGTTGCGTGCTAGGTTTCGTTGCACGTTTTGTCTTTCGCCGTCAACTCCCGTATATATGATGCGCCCGTAATTTCCGGGCAGTGTCTCGGCCAAACAGTAATTACCCTTTTCAGGTTAATCATTCTCAAACGGTTAATTTTTGTGTGTGTCTGAAATCTACGTGCTGGTTTCAGTCTACTTCAATCTCAAGCATCAGTGTTGAATCAATAAGGATACATAAGCATTATCGTAAATAATTACAAAATTACCAATTCATGGAATGAGCGCATTTTTTGTCATTCCCAATTTACATTGAAAAACCTTTTATCATATTTGATAATTACTCTCAGCTAAACTTATGATATCACTAAATGCTGATTTCAGGTTTTCAATTGAATATTGTTGTTCAAATTTAAATGCGCTAACAAGATAACAAATTTATACACAGAGACAAAAATACAGTTTTAACTTAAAAGTCGGTTTCTTCAAAATTTATCGAATTAATGTAGTACGGGAATCCTCCGCAAGTGTTATCCTTGATCACTATTGACAATTTCAAAAATAACAATCATACATCCTGTTGTATAGAAGTGGTGATTAGTAAATAGGTACAAAATTCTACACGACGTTTTTTCAATCCGTTCTTTCAAGGTTTTATACAAACAACCGTAAATCACCAGAATGTTAAATAATGATAATATTAATATTAATTTGCACTAACCAAATCCGTGTTATCGGATCATACGAAGAAGTTATGTTTGTTCCAGGATAGAATCTGACCATTCCTGACCTTGTACCAATGAATCGCCTGACTATGTGATTGTCTTTTTCTGACATCCAAATCGCATCCACACTTGATGTCCAAATGATATCCGATATTACGTTAACATGAATCGAATCTATGATAATGGTGAATAGTTTTACAAAATTTAAATTCGTACACCAACTGCAAATTACAAATTATTTGAGAAACCGGACACTTTTGTTCTACAAATAATGTAACGTCCCTTATAGCTAAATTTCCAACACATTTCCTTAACATATTTCAGCTGCAAAGCAGTATAGTTGGATTGTCTAAATTTTATAATTTCGACACACCATTACCCCATTTATACTTTAAAGCTTGGAATTTCTTTTTTAGTTGAAAGACTTCATCAAATAATTTTTTGACTTGTATTAAGGGCTCGTATGGGTTCTTTCTATACTTACCACATGTTAAAGGGGGTGTTGTATAGTATTTATAAATCTGATAAGCCTCCTCCATTGACGACGCACTCAAAAAATCGTTGAACATACTCTCATATTCTTGCACTTGTTTTATAGTTTCACTATTTGATTCATATTCTTCTGGCTGTATAAAACACTGCGGCGATAGTTTTACAACACTGGAAGTTACGGTCGACATCTAAAAAAAATTTCATGGATGCATATATATAGAGATTTTAAACGCTAGTGCTTAAACATATCTTCACTACTTGATTTTGCACTTCAATTCAATTTATTTAACAATATTCATTCAATATTCATTTGGGACTGTTTTCATTGTGGAGTGCAACAGTTTTTCTGTTCACTTTCTAGAGAAGACCTTGAGGACAGAATTTTTTTTGTTTGAAAAACAATTGTAAAATAAAAATTTTGCTCTCATGACACAGAGCAACTAACTCAATATTTGTTTCCTAATTTGAACGCGAATTCGGCATATATGCATCGTTTTGCTAAAGCGTGTCTGCTATTTTGTTATTTTGGCAGTTGTCATTGGGACAAACGCTTTTTTATTATACTATTGGGTCAATTACTGTTAAATCTACTTGGAAATGGAAGGGGTGCCAAGCTATTACATCTTCACGCTTTCTTTATTTATTTTACGACATTCTTTTGCTGCATCACCAGTAACCGCATTAAGTTTTCTTGATCGGACATCTTTGCGGATATCTCGCCGAGAGAACCCGACTGAAAAAGGTGGGAATCGCAGGAATCCGTGACAAGAGATTCAGTTAATAGTAGACAACATGGAAGGGATCAGAAAGAGTAGGTATCGATAGTCGGTGAATAATTGGTAGGCATCATATCGGTGACTAAAAGTAGGTATCTGGGCTGCTGTTTGAAATGATTTGCCACGGTGTATAAGCTGGTATTCTCCCAATCGATGCTTCAAATTTTAAACAGTTTTTATTGTCTCAATTTAATAACTGCAATCCAACTATAGACTCAATAGATGAAGCGGAAACTTCAGGCAGTGCCAATGAATTTTAGTACCGCTCGAATTTCTGCCATATGGCTGATAGGCAATATCTTTTTACCTATACTTACAAAATATATTCAAGCAAGCCTAATAATTTTGGTTATAATAAATAAACTGTCACAACAATTACCTTATAAAGATGGCGGCAAACGTCTTGAGTATTGAACAAATCTAGTCTGTGGTAACGGAAAGTAGACATACTCATATTTGGGCACCGATGAGCGACAATTGAATTTCCTTTTTTGTCGAAACAACCAAAAATGGACTGAGGAGGACTTAAATTCACGATGTAGTCATTCACTTCTTCAACAAAGCACAGCGAAAAGTTTGTGTTTGGTATAGGATGCCAGTGGTAAGTCTGATTTATCTGTATATATATATATGATGAAATCAAAACAATGATGAAATCAAAATATTAATCACTAATTTGAGTATAATTACCAAGCTGTTAGAGGAAAACGTATGGAATTTAGTTGATTCTCGCAAATGATTTCATTTTATAATAGTTTTTGTTTGAATCAAAGTAAAAATATAATATTTAGAATTTGTAGTTTGATTTCCAGTAGTCAGTTGAATTGCCTCTCCCTCTGCCTACGATAATGCGTTTGGGATTTGTTTTTATTTACAAGTTTCGAGTGTTTCAGGCTGAATGAACATTGATTTAACTTTTCCAAGAGCTGTACAAAGTGTGTTATAGAGTCAAAGTACATGAAAAACAAAGACAACTTACAAGTCAACAAACAGCGAAATAACAAACGGAAAAAAGGACAATCTGTCGCGAAACTTACAATGAATACTTTATTGCAGTCGCCAGCCGGTGCAACTCTATTTGAAAGAATCGTCTTCTCTCCTTTAAGACCTTCCTTCATCGACTTAATTACGCATTTCAAAGCCTCATCGCGCTCCAAGGTTTCGATGTGGATAAAATATGGTGTATTGAGAGATTTTTCTGGCACCGGCATCAACGGGTGAATAAGAACACGTCCAGATCCATCTGTAAATCACAATCGAGTATTATTAAAAAATAGGGGTCAAAGCGAATAATACAACTTTGACATTTTCATTGTATAGATTTCACGATTCGCCTATTTTAGATGCAGTATTGATCAAAAAGTTTTTCTCTTACCTATCACAAAAACATATGACCTATCGTCATTTTTAAGTTTGATGACATCACCCAAAAGATCCGATATGGAGATGTCATTGGCAGCAACGGCGGCAATGAATGTTCTTTTTGCATCCTGCCCTACTACAGGAAATCCAACTGTGAATATCAAACCTATAAAAACAGTTTTTAGCATTGTTAAATTGGAAAAGTAGTATTAATGCATTTCACACCTCTTATCTAGTTGGAATTCTAGTACTTTCAATCGAAGCGCAATACATCCCAATTCATATTTCATGAAGTGCATCCCATGATTCATACTTTTTACCCGATCAAGTCCATATATATATAAGTTTTTATTCAAATACAAAGCCAAAAAGATTTGGAAATGAAGATTTGGAATTATCCAAGTTTGGCATTATCTGCATTTGCCAGGATAACGCACTCTTGATTTCGCGCAATTTTTTTTTTGAGATAATTTTCAGACTAGTTTATATAAAAATCCTCGTTTATATGGCTCGGAAGTACAATCCACAGCTTTCGACCGCCTTCCGCCATCTACATAAACCACGTACAGAGATTATTCATGAACCTTAACGAAATTTTGTTAACAACAAATTTTACTAACCGAGGCCACCAGGATCAAAGTAAGGAACTGAGAATGAAGGCTCTTCACTCCTTTCTATTGTGTCATTTTTAATCAACTTCGTGTAAAAGAAAGTTAATCGATCTCGTAACTGATAAGGCTCTTGAATCTTGTAAGCGCTTCCTAAATAAATCATTTTTTCATTATATAAAGGTTCGGGTAAATTGAATCAATAGGCCGGGAGAGACGTTTAACTATTTTGTCTTACCACTGTTCTATACTCAAGGCACAATTTGTTTTGTTTTTATCCAAAATTATATTTTTGACAAATAAACGATTCAAAAAATGTTTCTGACCTTGCGTTACATTTCGTACAGTAAATCCCTCTTTTTCTGTGATGTCATCTTTACCGAGTTCATCGTTGAAATCTTGATTTGCTAATTTTTTCAGAAGTTCCATGTTAACTGAAGATATATAATAAAATTTCCTGCCTTGAAATACGTTCTTTTTTAAAAAATTATAACCAAATACGTTGAAATGTGTGCACTTCATAGTTTTATTTAACAAAGTTACGAAACATCGTTCGGAAGGAAAACATGCAGAAATGAGATCAAATATAATAGTATATATAGTTCCGTGACATGAGCTATTTAATTAAAGCAACTTATTGTGACTTATCGCACTTAGCTTACTCATATATTTATGAATTGTATGGACTATTCAATTCTTCATGATTTTGCCACTATTTACGATTACATATTCACCTTGTCTTCCAAGACCATAGGTAAATATGGTTGCATAGTTCAATATGTTTCTGTTTCCTTCCCTGATGATTCGATAAATGTTGTTTAGTTTATTGTGGTGAATTTCACTTGCATCTCCGTCAGATATGAACAGTATCACACAACGCATTCTTTTATTAAATCCTGGTTGAACCAAATGGACAGTCAAGGACATATAACGAGAAATGATATGATTTTGGCAAATCAAGAAGATTTTCAGAGTCTTCCAATATACGAAATATCCTTAGGCAAGAATCTGCTTGATAGTCGAAACAGGTTTTAAAGTTGCAACAAGTGCACATACCATTTATTTTACCTAGTCGCTATGGAAGAAGAGAATAGCTATTATAAACAAACACTTCAGCCCATGTGACAAGTTCAGTATAACCTCGTTGGTATTAGTAATCCTAACTTGTTAACATTCCCTCTTATTAAGCCGCCACAGCTGAGAGTAGCAAAAAATATGGTCAAAAAATTATGAACTTTCTTGTTACTTCAAAATCAGTTATAAAAATATATATATATATATATAATATAGTATATTATTTTATCTGAACTATATTTGTCACCCTGTTTTTAAACGAACCCGATGCATTACCTTCGGTAAAGTTTTCGGATGCCATCAAATCAAAAGCAGCTCGAAAAGCTTCAGCATAATTCGATTGGCCTAGAAAAATAATTGGAATTTTAGTGATAAGCATGTTTCGGATTTTTTTTCAAATCAAATATGTGCTATCGATTTGGTTTCTGCGGAACTAACTACTTATGCTTCATCTATGCTTTTGTGTCGGTGGATCCGTATGCATTTACTGCAAAGATGCAGTAACTAGAGTGAAGATAACCGTTCTGGGTGATTCCAAGAGTCTTGCAGCACACTAAAATAGTTAGTTATTTATCTACTATATATATATTTATTGATAATATCCAGCATGCCTTACATATACCAGTTATGTGTTTAGAAAAGTGGTGGTATCTCTAATAATATTTGTGAGTATAATATGAACAATTATATAAAAATGTGTGAATTGGTTCTTTATTGAATACCTCCCGGTTGCAACTTTGATAGAAATTCTTCTTTCAGTTTTTTCTTATTCATTCCATCAGCATATGCCAACTGTTTACTAAAGCAATCGCTTGGATAAAACGCAGTGTCATTAAAAGCAACGATTCCAACCTAGTGAGACGAATATATTATATATATTATAAATTTGATACAAAAATGCTCTTTAGTTTTCTGAGAGTGAAAAGTACCTATCATACATAACTGATTTAAATGATTTATGATCGATTATGTGCACAAAAACAATCTCTCGTATCGCATTGATTGAATGTTCATATATTTTTTGTTTGGTATAGTTCAATGTCGGTATAGTCTTATTTTGTTTCCAATGCGCCGTAATTTGTTTTACAAAAATTTAAAAGTGTCGTTAGTTTAAAATATCTGAAATACACCGATTCAGAAAATGAAAATGTAGTTGGCATTGAACTTTAAGAAAACGCATTTTACCACCAACAAATCAAATGGAAATTCGACTGCGAAAACATATTTTGAAAATATGTAAAATTACGTGTAAAAAGGGAACGTCTATTAGAATGATGATGTAGTAAACTACAGTCGCAAATTTCAAACTTCGAATTACCAAAAAAAAAATTTTAAAATAAAGATTGGCGTGCTAAACTGAAGCGACAAGACTTACAGGATGAAGAAATTTTATAGAAAAGATAAAATATAAGATACAATTTAAAATGACGAAGAATTAAATCTCGATTGACTAATGTTATCTGATCGTCAAAGATTCTTAAATTAACCGTTTTTAAAAAATACCTCGATTTGACTGGCGGTCAATAGCAAAAAGATTGTACAACCCTGCTATAAACGATGTGTTAACGAATGTTGATTAACGAAACGTAATAACATCACCATATCACTAGGCATGAAAGAGTCCAACAACGTTCCAATTGCATCAGCAGCAACGTCAATCAACCGTTCACTATTGTGAGTTCTACCCATAGAATTCGACGAGTCCAGTAAAATTACTACGCGCTTCTTCTCAGGACTAGCAGCTTCCACATACCACGGTCTTAACAATACCAAATAAAATGATAAATCATTTAACGCAAGCATGCAATATTAATGGTATCTATCCAGTAGCTTTGCATATATGTACCGTAATTGATTAAATTTACAACAATACTGAGTTGTTTTGTATTGAATTGTACTGCTGACTTATTGCCTAAAACGCTTCTAAATGTTCATACGGCGAAATTGAGTTACCTATGATTTTTAATGGCATTTGAAAATATCGATAATAGCGGTTTTAGATATCTAATAACTCAATATACTGATTATTGAAACGCAAAATAAAAGAAACTAAAGTACCGGTATCGTGGGTCATATTGATTTCCCCTACAAAAATCCTGATTTCTGTGTGCTGGGTAGGAAAACAGCACGCCCTGGTTTGAGCCAACGTATTGCCATTTCAAAAAAGGCATATTCTTGTTATTTTCAATCATTTGGTTCACAACAGCCCGTGGGAGTTGGTAGTATGCCAATGGTGTAGAAGGAGACACCAGTTCGCAAATGGTGCTGTTGTCAATCTGAAACGAAAATACCAATAATCAGATAACGCAGTATAACAGATAACAGACAGAATTGTTTTTTGCATGGGAGAAAGACAATTTTCTAGAGCTTTACATAATTTTAGCAATAGAAAAATTTGACACAGCTATTTTGAATTTTGAATGTTCTTTGAGAGAAAAATATCAAAAACAAGAAGCTATTATACTTTCATCATTTCCTAGCGAGTTGCTGGGATAAAAAGGATTTGAAAATTTTAAATCTTTGACGTCGATCTCAAGATAATTTTGTGCACGCGATGTGGAGCAGAAAGTTATCAGTTCGTTAACACATTAGGATGAGCAATACACAAATTGTTTACAGATATTTCAACTATGTGAATAGCTAGAATATTTTTGAAAGTCACCTTTGTTTTGAATCGTTTATCCATAGCAGTTTTAGATTCGTCATACTTGCAGCACGATACCCATTTGGAGCGAGACGACATTTTGTGCTTTCCTGTTTGGATCTCTGCTTCAAGAATTTGCTTTGTCAATCTTAATCCGTCAATATTTTGACTAATTTTTTCGGATATTATCCCAGATAACTGACAAAATGGAAGAGGTGTAGTATTCTCACAGTATTGGCATTTGCCAGATTACGATTATTCTGCATTTAAATACCGTGTTTCAAAACTTGAAAAGTACCTTGTAGGCAATTTCATGTCATGCATAATTCTTGAAGTTTAAATATACTAACAATCTTTAATATATACAATACATTTATACAATTTGAATACAATCACGTATTTAAAGTCAGTTACCTGTTTCACAAGTAAATTTCCGTCATACTTTGTCCTCGTGAAATTTAATACATCAATTCGGGCCTGACAAAAGAATAATAAGTAAATATCACAACGAAGTGTATGTAGGTTTTCATTTTGATTTATATGCCAGTTTTCTGTAATAATTATCAAGGACAAAAATGATTTTGTATTCATACAGGAAAAGGCATTGCTGAGCATGGCCTTGAGCTTCGTTTTATACTTTTTTCAGTAGCGAATGACTGTGTTACCTGCACTGCTTCAACTCCAAGGGATTTATTCATCAGGCGGTCGATATACTGTCCGAGCAACTGTATGTCCACTTCATCAGATGGAGCTACATTCGTCCCAACTGTGTGCGCTATCAGCATGACAAACATGGATATGTATTCTGCTTTTGTTCTCCATTTTTGAACTCGCATGCTGTTTTTATATATTAGTAACAAATCTATAGAAATGATAATTTTACATAAATTGAAATTGAACCAGCTATAGCAAAATGATAAAATACAATACCGTTTATATTTTAGCTGTGCTGATATTTCGTTGTAGTATATATACTAGTAACTAAGCTATTGTGTGTGTCCTTATTGTGGACATAAATTGATATAGAAATAATCAACAATAACAACTTATGCTATTAAACAAAATGAAACAAAACAGATTCAACAAACTACTTTATGTAAAACATTGGATAAGCTCAAAACGACTGAATTTTTAATCCAGCTAGCGTGCTTAGAATTATTGTTCACATATACATCAGCGACATGAAACTTGATTCTATATCTTACTAATAATACTAAGGTAGGAACAAACAAATCCACTAAGCAATAGAATATTTTATTTAGGTTATATTTAAGAAGGCACCTAATACTTGAGGCTTGTAATAACAGCAGTCTAAGCCAATATCATTAATAACAAGGTATTGCAGTGCCGGGGGCTATGTTCATTAAAACAAGGCTGCGACACTTCCTTTCTCCGATGGAGCGTTTAATTTTTGTCTGATGACCTTGATCATACACATTTACTATATATATAAAAGCATGTTGCGGGCAGCGTGATTTCAACAGCCTGATAAGTAAATAATTATGATTTGACAACTATAGTCAAACAACAATGCCATATTTTTATATTTGTGTAGTGATTTAGGCTATAGAATCATGAAAATAAATAATCTAGAAAGAATAAATTATGAAAAGTAAACAAACTAAAAGCGTGGCCATTTCTGGAAGTAGACACTTGATTATTAGTCATTTATTTAGTCACCTCAAAAAAGGGGGAAATGGAGGTTGTATATTAACCTAAATATATGATTAATTGATTAGTTTTTTCATTCAGCTCTCTGAGATGCAACGACCAATCTGCATAACTAATTAATGCAAGCGTAGTAGTCTGAGTGATCGCACGCGGTTTATCACTACTAAAAAGGACATGATATGAAAAAAATTATTTGTCATAATAGTTATCTGAGATGCACTTTATGCATCTGACTCTAGTAGTTATAAATTAAGAATGGCAGGTCCGATCGTATTCATAGACATACATAAATATATATATCGTCACGCTAATAACCGAATTGCGTAATTCATTTTTAGCAGTTTTGAAAAAAACGTAAAAACTTCCTAATGATATTGTTTGGCCATTGAGAGTCAATAATTCGCCATGGTTCAATTTTTTGATCGTAGCCGGATTTAAGTTAATTTGTATGACGCAGTTAAGTGACGTCATAATGGCGCACTGTGACTTAGGCAGAAATGTGTCTATGACTTGGGGACCTTCCCCATTTTTACAACTTTACTATATGCACCAGTCCTGAAAACTAAATATTCCAAAAACTAATGTAAGTCTCAGTATCTGCAATGTCTAATCCCCAAACTAGCTAATCAGTTTCAATTACATTATTTTTTTATGTTTAAAAATATATATTTCATCAATATAACACGTTCTACACACCCACCGAAATAGGACTAAGATTAAATATAAAGAATAAAACAACAATGCACCCAATATCAAAGCCAACCAAGGTGAATTGGACTCGGACAGTGAATATCACAAGTGTACGTCTTCCTATATTGTAATATAAATTCAAATTAATACGCGCTAAGCTAGAATCCAAGATGCAAAAATTCGAAAATACCTCGCCGAGGTTATTTTGCCTTTGTGACGTCACAATAGTCCTGTGGTAACAATGCTAATTCATTATGACGAAACAATTGCACAAATGTGCATGTCATACTAAATCTCCATTTGTATGGGTTTCGGAATTTCTAAAATAAAATCTGAGTAAACAGACAGGTGTACAGCATTACATAAATATCTATTTTATAAAAAACTCAAAATCACCAAAATTGACTTACGCAATTCGGTTATTAGCGTGACGATTTATATATATATATATATAGTTTATTATGGTTTATCTATGACAAAAACATATAAATTAAATAATAGATAGGAAACCTGGCAGACCTTGTATTGAAGTTTGATACCTAGTTAATAGGTCCTAGTATATATTCAAAAAACGCTGCCACCAAAGCTAGACAAGTATTTAGGTACTCAAAAACTGGTTTATCACCACTAAAAGGGCCATGAAACTAATTTCCTGGATAATGAATTCACCCCAATTGATGTTTTGATACTGACGAACTCTGTACAAAATAGAATGGATGGTCAAGAATCCCCCAGGCTGCGCTACTGGAAGATGCTTCTAGGATGAATGGAACGCATGTCAGGCGTGTATAATCCTACTGACTTTATATGTGTATTACTCACCTTAATTATACTCCCTTTTCGTACTACTTCCATTACTCACAACGTCGTCAAACTTTAAGTCATGCAGATTTTTCAAATTGTTGCCTCGAATAGTAGGGGAAATTGAGGATTGTTGGGACACCATTTCCCTTCTGTATCTTTTGATCCCTACAACCTGCACATTCATTCGATATTGAGGACTAATGCAGAGAGCAGTACATGTAGTTTTTATTCAGCGATTACGAAGTTCCCTAGCGACATTCATCCACCAAATGCTTTGAAAAACGTTTGTCAATTGTTCCACTGCAACCCACCGGTGGCGCACGTTCGGACACACCCTGGTACACAATGTGGCAGTCGCAATATGCCGTTAAAATCCGCAAAGAATCAGCATCATAATATAAAGTTTAAACAAATATGGGACTACAAATTTGGAAATTTAATATTTTTGAAATCAATCTTCATATGTTCCATATATATTTCAGATCTTTCCCAAAAAAATTCCTAAAACCAATTTTCCGCATTGACAGTATAAAACCACTTTGGCGACATTCGTATCTAAAGAATCCGCCATTGCTGAATTACTTGTTAAGTATTTTAGAATCCCAATCTGAGATAAGTTCATTGTTTCACTTGAGAAATGAGTTCTGAAACTTCCATTCTCGAAGATGACAGTTCTTTGTTAAGAAGATCGGGTTTTTAGTGCTGTTCAAAGAAAACAAAAAAACCGAGGGTAATTTTTTTCAATCACTAAACTGTTGATTGCGTCCAATGAAACAACAAAACCAACATCGATATATTAACAAGTAAAATGTCTAATTCCGGCCAAAAGCAATTAATTTACTTTTTCGAATACACTCTGAAAAATATTTTTGAATCAAGACTATATTCCTTATTGGGCCATATGGCAAAAGATACCCTGATAATACACAAAACATAATGCATCTCTATGCCCCTAAGCACTCAAAGGATCAAAACACTGTCGAATTGTGCCCAGTGGAGCATTTCCCAATGGGCCCGGTCTATTGTTCATTTGTTCCCCATAACCACCAAACATTTCAGACCGTCCCACGTCGATATTAGCAAGACAATTCCACTCTCCAACGTTATGAGTATTTCTTAGTGGACTGAAGCTAAAAATATATCAGACAGTGGTTTGTCCAGTTGAAAAGAGTAAAGTAAAAAAAAGACTGATGTGGCGAAATTTTAGTTGTACCCCACCTAAACCAATTTCATCTCGCTTTGTATGGCAGTCCGTTTGCGAGAACCTCGTTACTCATCGAAAGGCGGAGCCAAACATTGAAACGCATACCTGATTCAAATACAGTATGAGTATGCGAGCTGAGTATGCTTTTCCACTGTGCTCTATATCAGTAAGTCGCGGTGTCAGATATAAAACGCGCAGCAGAATCAAGACATTTCGCTATGTCGACTCCGTCGTCATGCTCTCCTTCCAGAGGGAGCGCTAGTGAGTTAAAAGCCACTCGTTGGCACATAAACAAAACAACTTTTCAAATAAGTCTGATTTTCCGAGAATGCGCGATCGCCTTAACGGGATTTCGCCCCGTGGCTTGTTTCCTTCGCCCTCTGTGGACGATGTCACCCACTTAAAGAATCAATCACTGCTCTAAACTAATCACTGACTCCCATACTCGTGTAAAATATTCCATGACAGACACCTTAAAATTTATTCAATATCTCGCGCAATGAGATTACAATTGCTCTGTGGTTATCAAATTGTCTATTTGGGGTTGAATTTTAGAAAGCTGTTCCGTTTTTCTGCTTTCAACATGGCGCTGCAGCCTCGAAATAGTTGATTTCTGCAAACGTTTTCAAATCTGAGAGGTCAAATTTCTATCAAAGTCGAAGTCAATACATTCTGCGATCTCGCGTCGCAGTACTTAAATTATACAACAAACGAGTTAAATTTAGTTTCTTCCGGAATAGTAGTTTATTTCGATAAAAACATTTATGTTTGATAAAATGAAGAAAACTAGGATTTAATCTTGAAAAGTTGAGTTACAGGTCGGCCACGCGACGCCGGAAATAAAATATACCGGTATGCCAACACAAAGCGACAGTAGACAAACACGCCTTATAGCGAATCGAATCGTTTTAAGGAAGGCCGTCGCACAGACAGAAAGATGACAAAACAATTACTCGACTGAAAAACACTGGTCTAGAATACTATCCTACTTATGGGAACACTCTAGCTGGTGAAGAAGATTCTAATAGTGCAATTCAAAAGCAACCGGTAGCAGAGACCATGACCCAAAACATGTTTTTATTTTATTGTGACCTAGCTTCTGTATTCTAATGTGGTATAATTGTATCACATTTCCCCCTGAGTTTGATATATTCCTCTTCGGTACATCGCAGTCAGTCATGAACTACTTACACAATATAAATTTTAAGTCACCACGAAAAACATCACGGAAATTAATATTTCAATTGCTGAAGCATACTTTTGTAAAAAACAGATTCCAACTTGATTTATTTATCTAATTCTATTCTAGGTTGAGCTCTAAAGAATGGAAAAATATATAGAACTCAATCTGCATTAATTTAGGGTTGATGAAATTGTTATTGTAAAGTTTCTTCAATTCCACAGACCTTACTTGGAGGTTGTACATTACAATGCAATAACAAATGACCATTTTCGGCTAGCCTATAGTTTGCCACTACTTCTTTAAAATATTCATTGGGTGAAACAAATCGGCGAAGCTGTCAAACTCTTAAAACTGGGGCTTGCATTATGACGTTTTGGGGAAATATTTTAGAATCCCAATCTGAGATAAGTTCATTGTTTCACTTGAGAAATGAGTTCTGAAACTTCCATTCTCGAAGATGACAGTTCTTTGTTAAGAAGATCGGGTTTTTAGTGCTGTTCAAAGAAAACAAAAAAAACGAGGGTCATTTTTTTCAATCACTAAACTGTTGATTGCGTCCAATGAAACAACAAAACCAACATCGATATATTAACAAGTAAAATGTCTAATTCCGGCCAAAAGCAATTAATTTACTTTTTCGAATACACTCTGAAAAATATTTTTGAATCAAGACTATATTCCTTATTGGGCCATATGGCAAAAGATACCCTGATAATAGAAAATACCCTGATAACAAATGACCATTTTCGGCTAGCCTATAGTTTGCCACTACTTCTTTAAAATATTCATTGGGTGAAACAAATCGGCGAAGCTGTCAAACTCTTAAAACTGGGGCTTGCATTATGACGTTTTGGGGAAATATAAAGATTTCGGTAGAAAATGAACCTATATATACGTTAAAATTATGTTTACTCGAATGTATATATATTTATATTATTTTGTTTAGTTGGTCATGTGTAATTTTGTTGAACGTATTGTTTGTGTCCATAGCTAGGTTATTGGCGGGTATAAAGTCTATGATAACCCATACGCCGTATACATCAATCTTAGCTTTGACCGCACTCTGTTAAATGTAAAATACTTAGTAGCCTGTATATACAATGTATCCTGCTTTTATATATATTATTGTTATGTTTTGTTGAGTGGGCGATTAAATATATTCAGCAAAACCTCGAAGGGAAGATAATCACCATACTGATGCGCTATATATGAATTTAATATGGTTCTGTTTCGTATCTTGTCAAATAATATCAATTACAAATACCATATAGACTTTTATGAAATAGGCATATCAAGTTTCTGACTCGCATACGTCGACATTTATTTTGTGATATAAAAATATATTAGGATCCATTGTAATTGAAGAAATTATACCGTTGCGCGCCGCCCATCGATATCTCGCCTTGGGGATCGCGGCACGAGGCACCGTCCCAGGAGTACCAAATTTCGCTTTTTGATTGTATTCGGGTGACATCCGGTTTGAGACAAAGGGAGTTCGAGCATTTTGTTTTACTTACACAACAAATTGAAACATTGTAAGATGGCTGGTCGTCATCACGGGGCATATATCATTCCAAATAACACTAGGCCCTTGTTTTCTGCCTTCCGCTGCCTCTTGAAAAAACATGTTGGGCATAATGACTAGTCCGTGTTTTTCTTCGAACAAAGCCTATCGACACGTTTCTGCCAACCGCACAATCGATTATCTTTTATGTGTATTGTATTTAACGTCGCCGAGGTTTTTTGTCAAGATAAAATGAAACCAAAATTCCACGTCGAAGTACTTTATTAAAAAAAATCACAATAAATAAATTCGATGGTTGAATAAGTAAAACCCATCGGCCAATGGATGAAATGGTAAAAAATAAATACAGCATAGTTCTGCCAAATATTTGGCATTATCAAAAAACAATACAAAGGAATTGAGTTGAGAATAATAATAAACACACTAACTGTTTTAACACGGTTAAAACATGGTCAAACTACACTACTTTATCGCTATGACTATGTCACTATCTACAACTACCATATACAATCTTTTGCGGTGTTAAGGAACATCAAGAGTTAATGAAGAGTGAGGCTACGATTGTACAATAAACGTGAACATGCAATGCGATAAATTACGCATTCTAACAAAAATAGTTTCGTGTGAGGCGCCATGAAGCACCTTAAAGATTATTGGATAACAATAAGGGTAAACATATTTTGTCAAAACAACGTTTTGAACAAGTCGTATATGGACAAGCCAACGAAATTTGGGTGGAATGTCGGAAATAATTCATTCGATTGATCTCTTGTTCCAAATCTAACATATTGTTACATCAATGACCCCATATTAGGTCACAAAACACTAGAAATCAATAACACAGAGCAGGTCTGAAGAAAAAGCACAGTGATATATATGGTGGAAACCAACCCCAATCGAAACGAGAGATTTTCCCATTCTAGAATGAGAATAAATAGAAAGTATATGTATGGCCAGTGAAGAATCTAAACATAATTGAATTCACGCATGAAACGATAACGCGAATATGAAACAAAGCAAATAGTCTAGCACACTAAGCCCATCCCGCTATATAAGTTTGAGTGACATTGAACGATTCGCACGCAAGCATTCGAGTAAACCACCATTCCGTCACAAGCGAAGAAACGTCTAATGACGGGGAGTGGTGACGATTTGCTGTATTGGGTATCCACGCGTAAAGATTTAAAAGAATGTTTTTAGCGCGCTCGTAAACATAGATAAGGATCTTCGCATTTCGGCAGTGAGGGTGGATTAGGGCTGTTTACAACGAACATTCATTGATTACGCTGGTTTACGTATTTTTTGTTTTACGTATTCTGTAAGAAAAGGAAACAAAACGTAATTTCTAAATATAAGTTTGAAAAACGCACTACTTTACGTAAGGGCAGTCGCCTGTTATCGAAGACAAGGGCATTTAAAATAGTTCGGCTACTGGTCACGGACAAAGAAGTACTGTTAAACAGCACTATCGGTCACTGTGTATAAAAATAGAAATAAATAATGTATATAATAAAATGGAAAAAGAGAAAATAAAATAAGGATAATAAATAGTAAGATAAAAAAGGGGTAAACCACTTTTCTATTAACCGACCGAACGGATTGAAACTTTCATCCATATTCGATTGAAAGGTGATCTAATGACTCAGGTTTCTATTCATACCGGTACGGAATATATCAAAATCAGACGAATAGACTCATTTGAGATATTTCCAAAACCGCTGGAGGGTAATTATAACCAAATACGGAAAAGAGTTTGCCGGAGGTTTCTCTCTGTTGTTTCTGGAATCTATTTCAAAGTTACAGTGGATTTTAGGCACTTAGTCATCGCTTTTATGTGAGGTAGATCAAACTCTACCACAACAATGACGCCGCGTTTTAAGAATATCGTCAATAAGTTCTCGCCTCACAGTATAATCATCTTTAGCAGCATCCGTTCTCATTCAACAGTCGGTATTTCGTCTATACGCTTGATCGCCTTTATGGTCGATAAATTTAGACTCGTTTCGGACAAAGTAAAGCAAAATACATTGCAGAATATGTATTTTCACACTTTGTCGTCTCCCTTCGTAATTTGTCGATAAGAATTAAATATATCATTGTCCGAACTTCCACATTTACGATGACAAGAGCAAGATTTAATCTGCATCATTCGCTTCTTAAAACTGAAGCCGTCGTCGCAATGGAATGTGACAGTGACAGTTTTTGTACGCTCGGGTGTGCAACATCTCCCATCAACACATTGTCCGCAATATTTTGGTGTGTAGACTTTAGTTTTACATCCGGAAAAGGAGTATCGAACGGGTTTTGTTGCTTTTGGTGATCTTATGCATTTCTTTCCTTTCTGTAATAATATAAAAATTCAATTAGAAAAAATTGGAAAAAAGTTTAATGAAATTAACTTAACATTATACAAAACTGGAATTAATATAACATTATATTAAAATTTTCGGAATATACAAAATTGAGAATATAATACAGTACTGTATATAGCATGATAATTTTTTTTTGAATAACTTAGTTACCTTCACACGTGCTGTATAATCTTCGCCACAAGGGCGAATTTGACATAGGCGAGTTTCTTTCATCAATTTACAAGCTTTATTATCGTTTGTCACTCTTTCCGAAACGCCCCAACCGCATGATTTGGAGCAAGCAGACCATTGAGTAGTCTGTACCATGCATTCCCCGCGGATGGCAAGAGAAACCTCGGGTTGACGACGAGCGGCTGTAAACAAAAACACCGGAATTATTTCTGATTCAAATAATGAAGAAGAGATTTTCCACGTGACAAAGCACGGTAAAAACAATCTAAAACAAGGTTGTAAAAGCGCAAAGATTCATTTGCTATATGCTTTTATTTTATTATTCGAAACAGTATGACCATAGAAAACTAGTCATTAGAACTATCAACTCAGTTGCACTTTATGTTTTGAAATTTAACCGTTCCATATAACGAGAGAAATCGACGCGACCTCGGGCAAAATGCACGCCGTAGACACACCTTATTTGGTAAAAATATGTAGAGCAATTTCAAGTAAACTGCGCATTACCAGATTTTATTGTCAACAACTAAAATTCCCGCTTCTCACAAATAAAACGGATAGAATAAAACTGCAAAAGTATGTTTTTAATTTTGGAAAATTTTTATATAAAATGATAACATAAATAACTTGAGAATCCCAATCATTTCTCTCGCGTGATTGTAACAATAAGGAAAGGTCTACCAGAATTGAACCACAGCGCGGATTACAGACATTCTTAGGCGTTCAAGTGTTACAAAAATATTTAACTTCGACGGGTTCATTGACGTCAAAGCAAGCTATTTTTATTCAAACATTTTTGCGGTAACAACGAGAATCTTAAGCGTCGTGTTTTTGTTTGAACAAAACAAAAGATATTTAATCTGGAAACCCAATGCAGTGTTTCCGAGAGGATATTTTCTGCAACGGCATTTCATATCATTTTAAAATAGTACAAAAAGTAAAAATTTACCAGCAAAGTTAAATACTGCGGGTCGTGGACTGTGTTTTCCATGTCGCGATTCGTTCGACTTTATTTGTCGGTTAATTTTTGGCATAACAGATTTTCTGCTGCTCTTCATACAAATCCATTCTTCGCAACATTTACCAGGTTTAAGAACAAGACGAGGATGTTCGCAATTCTATAAAAGTAAAGGCATCGTTAAAATATTTAATAATTTCGTGGCCAGATTCGGTCTAGTTGAGATAAATCATGAATTACATTACATAAATATCGTTATACTCTATGAACGATTCTTACCGGAGGAATTTTTGCACTAACAGGACATCGTGGCATGCATCCGAAGTCTGAATCAATACAGGTACAGTGAACTTTGCAGCTTGGTGAAAATGATTCGCCGTTGAGATACACTTTACCATTGAGAAAACATGAGCGTCCAGGTTTTGCTAAATTGAATAATTTGCAAATTAAATTTTTAAATATTTACAGACATTATAATATAGCACGCTATATAATATACCGAGATTCATATACATACAAATCATCATGCGGAAAAATATGTTAATGTGTGAAATCACGTGGAAATAAACCGTGGGTGAAAGGAATGTGATATAACATTCCTTCAATAAAAAAATTTTGAAGCTTCAATTATCTGATTTAGTATCATATGACTATATTGGAAATGCTTAGGCGAATGAAACCATCATATACGAGCAACTCAAAACAACATCCAGTTCCTATTTTAACAATTTGTAGGGCATTGAGTTTCATGAGGTTACCGAGTCACAAAGAAATTGTCTCAAGAAAACAAGGGGATGAATTAAAAGAAACAATGCGACAGGCGGTAACAATGAAAAGGATATCTGTTTTCATACGACTTAATTTAAATTACATTGATTTGAGTGAAATAGACAATCATCTGATACTTTTTGAAGTTAAAATATATTAGAAACTACCATTCTTTACAATGTAACAACAATTCATCAAACTTGACAAGCGTACAAACAAACGGCTCACCAACACAAACTCCAGCAGTGTCGTCAACATCGCCAAAGCTGCAGTATAAGTTTTTGTGGTGATCGCATGGGTTGGAAGCATCGCAAGATTCATAGAGTTGTTTGGCGCATGTTTTGCAGCATCCACACTCGTCCGGAACTATGCTCACTCCAAAAGCGCATTTTGTAACACTTGGGCATTTCGGACATGGTTTAGAACAATCTTTTGCCATGGATGTCTGAAAGAGATGTAAAATGTTTCGATAAAGCACTCATAGGACTGGATTTCATTAAACTATTTTTAAGATAGCTTATGTACATAGTTTTAATAATACTTTTTTATTACTATCAATAAATTTCAAGCTTATAAAATTCCGTGCTATTTATAGGAAGCACTTAAGTCAAAGTCTAATCGTGAAAATTTTACACATACTGACATACCAGCCGATCAAGTGAATCATAGAATGTGTTTACCGAAAAAATTATTTCAAGATGACAATTCCTACGAGGTCATTATGCCGAATATGGTATTGCCTGTTCTAGTAATTATCTGACGTTTATCAGTTGAGTTGTTGCTCATACTTGTGAAAGAATTTATGGTATGTGAAAAATGCCACACGGCGACAAAAGAAGTAGCTTCGCGATCAGACGAACAGTAAATCTACCAAGCATATCGCAAAACAGATATTGTTTGCACAACCAACACGATGTCTACACAGAGGTTATTAACAGCTCAAGAACGAATGTATGAAAGATAATAAGTAACTTGTTATTCGTCCGTATGTAGAAAAGATACCACATTTATCTAAATATCTTTTTGCCAATCACAGATTAAAACCGATGTTTATTATTTCACATAACTTAATATTCTCAGTTACAAAATAGGTACCACGAGAATACCTACACCATGAGATTTTTAAACCCATCTTGAACCTACATGCCACATATGACTGCTGTAGCATTGTATTACCAATATTTATTTGGAGTGTTTCACCAACTGTATAAATTACAATATTGTAGAAATTTTGCAACGAAAATATACATGTCTATGCCATCAAACTGCAAAATTTTAGACTAATGTTAGGCAAACATTTTAAAATATTACCTGAATTGAAGTAACTGACAAAATGACGAAAACCAAAAGACAGTAGTAGAAAGTTGACATTTTTGTATTAGTTGTATAAATCCGTTGAAGTAATGTCAAAATACGTTGTATAGATTCGTAGATTTATGAATAAATCCTTTGCGTTTTATGCTTCGTTGAAATAAAACGGCGTCACGGAATGTCGTTTTGTAAAAAGTAACTTCGCCCAAGAAAAGGCTGACTAAAATAGTAATATCAGTACGAAAGTACTCAGGTATAGTCGAAAAACACGCTGACCTCTTGCTCGCAAGTTATTGAGCTATATGTAACGAGAGCCCAATGCTGCGTCTTTATATTGATGCTAAGAAAAAAGCCGCGCAGTCGAGAGAGGATTGTTTTCTTTTAGAGTCGACGTCAGTCACGCGACGTTATCTACGTCGCCGGGGGAGACATTCCCCATTGAGTTATTAGGTCCGAGTACGCAATGAAACTGAGTCATCGTTTATCATATACGAAATATATACGGAGAATTTCTCAAATATATTCTTATGTGTTATTATAACAGGCAACGTTGTCAAAAGTCATGTTTCGATTGCAATTAACTTTTTACCTAATGGCGAGGAGGGAGAACTGAATAATCTTAGAAGCAATTAAAGAAATCTGCATCAACCACAAATGTTTGCGGTAAACATTAGTTGAAAATATGAAAAATAGAATTTGTTTTTGTGGTCACAATTGCCACGAAAAAATCACGTTTAGATGTAAGAGTTCCTTCTGGTTCGAATGAAAGAAGATTAAGTGACAAAACATCCGGATTCTTTCCACGGGGCGCTCAGCATCCTCTTGCAAATTATTTTTTTTCATTATTTATTATACTTAATTTCAGTGTTACATGTTTAAACCCAGTTTTATATCATTAGAAATGTTCTGGAACATTTCTCTATAGAACGATAACACTCCATCATTAATATTGTAGTACAAATAAATGATCATAGAAAAAGGCCATAAAAAGAGGTATTTGTGAGATTCTTAATCATTCAATTATTTTTCACCACACATAAAAGCGAAAAAATCGTATATAGGGCCTACAAACTAATTAACGTTGTGTGACAAGGGTCGCGGGGGAACTCAAAACGGCTTCAACGACAGCTACAATACTTGTTAGGTTGTGAAAACAAACATCTCTTCGTTAGGAACGCATAAATAAATTATCGGAAAATATTCACAACAAAGTAAATTAGTAAAAATTACCTAATTTTCAATATATGTGTAAGAAATGGTTCAAATAAGGGAGCATTTTATATTTTTTTCTTTGTTCAAAATGTTTTCTTTATGATCACTAGTGCAATAAACGATTGGAAATTATCTTGACTTAATCGATCACAAATTTATCACGAAGCAGATTCAGACTAATTATGCGATTCGATGGGTTCAAATACTTACTTATTGCTTTTTACGATCATTTTAAAATTGAATTCATCTTTAGGTTCAGATTATAGACTACCGTAAATGCTTGTTTTAACGCCCGGTCTTGAATAGGCCCGTTTGAATAGACGGGAATAGAATGACGCCCGGGCCCGTTTGAATAGCCGCCCGTGTGAACAGGACATAAAAAATAAATAAGGGCCGGTGCTTGAATACCCGCCCGGTGTAAAAATTTTTTTTTTTTTTGCGGATTTGTACCTGCGGTGCGTAGAAAAAGTCAAAATTTTCATTATTCTCGTTTAAATCATACTTGAGAACTGGAAATGACAATATACGGTATTAATTATTGTAACGATCGATCTTATCTACCGGTATTTTTGTGTGTAATTTTACTTTAAAAATAACAAGCGCCCCTGCTTGAATAAGGGCCGGTTTGAATAAGGGCCCGGTTAGTGAGTATGTTTAAAAAAAATAAGCGCCCGGGCTATTAAACGAGCAAATACGGTATTCTCCTGAATATCCTATTTTAATTGTGTATAGTTGCATCTTGCATGTATTATATGCTGAAGAGATGCTACACAGTAGATACCTCATACCAGGTTCCTGTGTCATAAATCTAAAATCCACTCCGCATCACTCATATTTGGTGCTGTATATAATTAATACTCAAAGATTGTTTTTACAGACTCGTAAGACGTGCTATCTATAAACATGTCCTTTCTCACCAGAATTCTCATTTTGATTATGACGTGGGTACCCCAAGCGAATAGGATTTTGTCAGCAGTGTTGTCTGCTGATAACCTCATATACTAATTATAGAATAACTAGAGATCGCTTCGGAATTCAGAAGTGGTTCAACATATTAGGTAATAGTAATACAGACTGATGTAATAAGTAAAGTGGTGAGGCAGCATGCCCTTCTCTGATCAACTGCATTAGTTTAGTAGGTATTTAAAGAATCAAAAAACCGTAAAAAAGAGCAAGGCTCAAATAAGTGGACACGAAATAAATTCAAAACAATGTTACCCGGAAATAAAACAGCAAACTTTTGCATACAACTGCGGCACCTAGGTCCTGGGAAAACAAACATAAAAATAAAAACCTCCTAATGACTACTTCAATATTCAGGTATTTGAAATTGATTGGTCTAATTGTGGGGGAAAGCGGTATTTGAACAATCGCTTTGCGCTCGCTGACAAAATGAAGTGAAAGAAAACCACCCTGCGATGACGACATATCTAATAAGCTTTCTCCAATTTATGATTTGCGATGTCTCAAGCGGAATAGTAGTTCTGACACGGAATTATACACTATACCAGGCTGGTCCAAACCCAGGCCCGCGGGCCGTATGGAACCGTAGCTTCATTATATGTGGCCCGCGTCGCATCGCATTTTGTTTTGTTTCATCGTAAAAAAAAAACAGAAAATTTTATTTGACATATTGTTACATCACTAATGTCACTGAATTGACTAGTGTTATGGCTCGCTGATGAATAATGTGGCTGGCAAGTCTAGAATGTTAACTGTCTTTCTATCTTTTTGGTCGGGAATATATGCTAACAATGTAGGCATCATAGAAAACTAAAAATCGAATGCAGAATCTATTAGCCTAGGTTGACTTTGCCTGATAACTAAATAATGTTTTGGCCTAACAATAGGAAATAGGAAACAAATAGGAAATTTTGTAGTTACCCTCATGTACCTCACATTTGTAGGGTTTTGTTTTTTATCAATTCTAAAAAAAACTCTTATTTTAAAACAAGGGCTTATTTTAAATCAATTTTTTTCTGTTTTTATTTATTGAAATACCCCTTGCAACACCGCGAAAATTACGCCAAAACGTTGCGTTCCATCAGCTACACACGCAGCCGGAATAATAATGTCAAAAACGCAAGTAAAAATTTGTACTCACTCCAAAATCAAAAGACTTTAACAGAAATGTTTATCCGAGATATCAGAGAGACGTTTTAGGTAAGAAAAATTATGAAACATATAGCTCACGAGCAGTAGCTCAAGGGCAGCTTTGAGCCGAACAAGTGCGTTACGATAATGAGAAATATACTAAGATCGGCGGCAACCTACGGATTTGGACGATGAGACACTCTGGCCTAGGCTGTGCTAATTGTAATACCATGTGATACAATGACGTAACAGCTAACCTGTTATTGGCAGAATTATATTTTTAGTTTTATTCGAGATTGCATCGCATTGTAAGCCGCTTTCAGAGTATTTATATCATAATATTTAGCATATTAACAATTTGAAGATTGTATTTTTACATTTTCAGAAGAAAAAAAATAAGGCGTTATATTAGGGACTTCGAGTTTATGTATTGACTTTTTTTTCATAAAATGAAGGCATTACTGTATTACGTTTAAAACTGTTCGGTTAATTTAAATTAACATACTTTGTTTTTGAGGTTAGAGGAATAGAATATTTCAAAGTTATACAAACTCGTTTATTCGGCTGTATTTCAATTTTCGCAAGGTTGTTTCGTCGCAGAGTGGTTCACGTAAAGCCTTTTATCGGTTGCGTCTTCTTGCGCAAACCACATTTGCGGACGTATTGAACTACAGCTTGAGAAGGCGTGTGTGGGCAAGTCATCGATATTTGTGTTGTTTCTAAGGGTTATCGATAACAATAAGCTCTTGGCACGTTTTTAAATCCATTTTTCTTTAACCTGTTTAATACAAAAAAATTGATTTAAAACAATTGTTTCAAAACAATTCTCTTTGAACAAATACCTACACATTTGTAAGATATTTTGTAAACATGTTTGTTAACTGTGTTTGAAAAGAAAGCTGACCAATTCAAGCAGATATATATTTAACTGGATATGGGAGGTAAAACGCCACAATGCTTGCTCAATATGTCTGCAAGTTGTGTCGGTGATAAAATAATATAATCTAAAACGGCATAATCTTAGGAGCAATGAGCATTTTTTTGAGAATCTTATCGATGTTCGAAATCACTTACATTTGCGGAAGAACTTGAAATCTTACACTAAATGTAGATATAGCAAAGACTTTCGCACGTTTCAGTGAGTTTTTTGATAGTTTCTGCATGTTTAGCTTAATAAATAACAAACAGTGTCAATGTGTCTGCCCAACAAAAGTGGGTGGTTGCACTGTTTACCTATTATTGGCCCGCGAGCAATGCAAAAAAAATTTTGTGGCCCCCGAAGCTGACAACCTTGAATCACCCTGCACTATACCATGACTACTCACCTATTTTTACCCAAGATCCGCAAACAAAACTTCAAAATTATTTGGGTCCGGTCTTTCCACAAATTATATTTCCGCATCCAACGCGCACCTTCTCGACTGACTAATGATTATTAGCTAATCAAGATTGTTTATTATGGGGTTATAGTTCTTTTCATGTAAAAAAATATTCAAAATTATAAAAGTGATTTTATAAAAGGAAACTGCAAAAGTGGGGTCAAGGATATCAACTAAAAAATTAGTTGCGGTCCGAATCAAATACTCGGAAGGTCCGGATTCGGACCGCGGTCCGCCAGTTGAGTAGCCCTGCACTTTACCAATGGTTCCCAATATCTTCGCGGATCGGCGACAAAATAATGTAAAGAATATAACAAATATTAAATACCTGTATTTGCGTAACAAAAGTAATTTTACTCCGACCGATCGTGTAATAATCACATCACAAATCAGTAAAAACGACAACAATCTGTCGTGCGAATATGACGTTTACAAGAATATTCAAATTATGCACATGGTTATATGATTTCGTTTTCTTTTCGAAGTTCTGGGACAGAAATTGGTAAATAATACAGAAATCGGCGCCAATTTTCTTTGACTTAGAATAATACATATATATGCAGCAGACTTCCCATGCAGAAAAGTGCGACGATTCGAGGTCGCTGGGGAACCTATTCCTAATAATCCAATTTGAGCCAAATCTTTTTTCCTCAAAAATCGATCGCTTGCCTTATATATATTATAGCGCCTTATAAGCTTGCGTGACTAATGTATGGATCAAGTAGTGCTGTATACTTTATTGACTAAACTCAAAACCAGTACCCGTGACATTGTTTTATAAAATAAATGCCGTTTTACGTTTTTTTTTATGGAAATACAATGACCACAAAATAAATTTGATTCTTTTTTTTGGATTGATGAACTCGGATAATTTCGACAGTTGCCCAAATTTACACTTTACCGAAGTATTCATTCCTTCTCAAAAACTTTGACGAAGATATCTTGAATACCTCCGAGCTACAAAACATTCAATCCGAACTTCGCTTTGTCCGACACCGAATTAAGTGGTAATATATTGCCAAGCGATTAACAGCTGCGTTTTTTTGCATTCAATTCGAAATTTGGCCGAATTAGCTACTGAATGCACAGCAGGATCGGATGTTTAAACATATATATATATGGTATAAATAATTTTTTACGATGCAAATTTCAATCATTATTCAATGATAGCTTAAATTGGGTAGAGATTATATTTCTTATCCGTTTATTCCGTTTTTACGATACTTCACCGTGCAAAGGATAATGTAAATGATATTTAACACGCTTCATATTTTCGTCTACGTAATATTTCTACGTATCATTACAAACACTACCTTTGTGTACGATCAATGCAGAATAAAACATGTATGAGAATTATCGTTTGCATACATTATAAACTAATCTAATAACTGTACATAAGACAGCGTGTTAGTTGCACATACCACTAGCTAATAACTTATTGAATATTGAAAACGTTTAAATTTTTAAATAGGCAAAGGGAGTAATGTAGCAAACAGGTTGAGAACAATTGGTATATTTAATCGTTAGGGGCAAACATGTAAGCGAAAAAAAAAATCTTTCATCGCAGCGCCAACATAGAAAACAAATATGGTGCATTACTCTACCTACCTGGCCATCGCGCCCCAACGGTCAGCGGGAGAGCATATTCATACACATATCAGACAAGCTTTATTCAAAAATAGAAATGGGGAGGAAAATTAAGGGTGAAGATCCAGTTTAGCACAATGAAAATGCAATGTTGGGAGTAGCACCCTTGCTCCAGAAAATCAGATTAAAGATAAGGAAATGAGCAGATATTGCATACAAAATGAAATAGGGCAAGGAAGAAATACAGATATAAGAAAACACTGAAATATGTACACATAGAAAGGTATACGGGCAACCATTTTATAGATCGCCAATTCCTTTCGGTCATAAATTTTGAATCTCAAGCAACTGCTATGCTACTGTGAACAAATCGCTGTGACACGATTTATTCTGAATACCAGGAGTTTGAAATGGTCCAACGAAAACAGCAAGTTGCATAAAGAACATATAAAAATTGCAGTGAATATTGACAGATGCATCACTGTTTTAAATTAAGTATTGGTTATGGTGATAATAATTAGAAAAAAAAACAGAATGAAGAATTGAAGTGAAATTTTTTATTTACACTGTCTGCAATTTACATGAGGGCTAGCTATGTACAATTAAATTAAAGGCACTGCGGTCTGACCAAATACATATCGTAAGGAGATTGAATGCTTCTTAGCAATACAAAATGTTGCACAATTTTATAAATCAGAATAATTGTAAGTAATAAGAATTATAGGTCTGCAGCTTTGGAAATTTGCACCAAACCGCTGTGGAATTGGTTACAGAAATAGATACAAACTTGTTCACAGTAGAATTTTTGCAAAAACTCCATGCAGTCAATGCACCCTAATTTATGTAGCAAACAAAATTTTTACATGTCATGGGTGAGTCGAAAAAAATACATAAAAAAAAAGTTTCCACAAAATTCAACAACAGCAAGTGAACCTTTTTTTCTTCTTAAATTTTGAAGAGTAGAATCATATACAATCACATCATATGCAAGCATTTCAAAAATACCACCATTGGATGAATAATAACAGAGCATGTATACATTTCACTAACACACTGAACACAACGAAAATAATATTTCACACATAAAAGTACTGTTATTCCCGTTTTATTCTTGCAACAAAATTATGACTTATGCAAAATTATGTACATTTTATTGAGCAGATTTCATCATGATTTTGTTGCAAATGAAATACGTTAAAGAATTCTACAAATTCATTCGCAGATGACAATTCCCATGAAATACCAAAATAGTACATCACAATTCCTAACATAACGCAAACGCAGGCGCTTGAAAAGAAGTTGTTTTTCACTTTTGTTATTATTACATCATTTTCAGTTTTTTGTATCAAATGCCAAACATATGTAAATAAATGAATATCACCATTTGCAAAATCACCATTTTTATATTTACAGTTTCCCAATCACCCTCGAAAACAATTAGGATTTTTAGTAACCTTAACAGAATTTGAGAATTCTGCGAAATAGGCATACTTACTTTTTTGATAGTGACTAATAGATAGTCAAAATAAGGTATCCTGTTGAAATCTGTCATCATAAGACGTATATTGAGGATGATGTCGGGAAAACTGAAGACCAGTGATTTTCGTAACTGCCTCTGTACTGCCTAGGCAAACGGTTCATGTCGGCTCCGGCGGATATGTCGAGAAGCTCGAGGAGACTCTATTATTCATAGAAAAATAAAATATAAATTGTTAAACTTTTTCAAATTATGATATTTCATCCATGCTACCAAATCTCTAAAAGGAAACAGCATTATCTGATTACTGGACCAAGTAGCAAATGATTGAAAATAAAAACATGAAAACCGAACAAGATTTTGACACAAAATCTAGGAAGAGGTTTATTAATATTGAGTCAAATACAATCACTCCGTGGTTCACAAAGGACGGATCGTGCCCCACAAGGCGTGGCGTGGAAAATTTTAGAGGGGGGAATGAAGCTAATTGAAAATAAAATTATTTGTTAGATTTGATCTTGCACGCCCTTATTTTGAAAATTTGCATTTCACGCTCCATCCACGCATTCTTGATGTGTTTTTGAATAAAACACACTTTCGCCTTTACTATTTGTTACTTGTAGCTTTATGGTTCGCATATTTATTTCAAAAGTGAGGCACAAAACAAATTCTAGAAAGGGGCCGCAGCTTGGAAAAGTTTCAGAACCACTGCCTTAACTGGTTGTTAGTCTACAACCAATTAGTTGTATGTCCTAAATTCACAAAGCACTATGTGGTGTCAACTTTCCCACTAACTGAAGCCCAGAAAAATCAACAAACCATAAATATTTTTCTGATATATTTCGAGATGGTGGTAATCTCCTGGCCTGCATTCTATCCTTTCTGAATTCGCATCTTTTATTCTGTCAGTAGCATTTCCTTGTTGTCTTATAAGCATTTGCATTCCTGGATGACCACTTTTTTACATGTCGCATGGGACCAACTTCCAAGTTAGGATTCTATACAACAGCAATAAAAATTATTATTTGAGGAAGAGAAGCAACTAGGGACTTCCAAACCTAAATCATCTATTCAAAATGTTCAGATACTTTCAAGTAAAAAATTACGGCGCTCCACGTACCAACATGGAGGTAACTAATTTATGTTCGCCCACTTTACATCAAGTTGTGCCAAGGGACGGAAGCCTATGGGGCAGGGGGTATATTCACTTGGCTACCACAGATGGTACCCCAAACTTCGTAATAGAACTAAAGATCAGGGGAAATCAGAATAAAATTATGGCCTAACCCTAACATTAAAACACACACTACAAGAGTATCCATGTATTCTAGGTTAGCCAAACTATACTTACATGCTCTGATAGATGTCCGTGTGGCCTACTGACAGTATGAAACGGGTGATGTGCAGGATATGGCGATGGTTGGAAAGCCTGTGAGATCGATCAAATATTGGATTCCTAGTCAGCAACTGGTACATTCCACCCATCAGACTACAATGTGCAAAAGACAAAGTTTTAACAATTATTAGCAAAATTGCTCTTAAGGGAAATTTGAAACGGCAGAAATCATGAATTTTCAATGGCTACATTACTTTATATTGAAAAAAAAACATTTGAAGAATGTGTTTTTGTGATTCTTACCGCATCATAATCTTCTTCTGCAGGTGTAGAGTACATGTTCGAATAATCTTTTTGAGAATAAATTGGTACATTTGACAAGGCATTTGTCATTCCACTATTTCTGTTTCGCATTTTAGGAGGAATTTCCATCAGAGGTGGTAAAGAACGTCGCCATCCAGAAATTGGTTCATATGCTTGCTTGAGTACTTTTGTTGTATTCATTTCAATATCTGTACAATAAAATACTCCAATATAATTGACCATTAAATAAGTCGTTTTGTTTAATTTATCAATATTCAACCTGTATACATTTCCATCAAAGTATCATGGATATTAGTACAGCATAGAATAGTGCTAACATTCACAAAAATGAGCTCCTCCTGTAGTATGTGTACCAGGTTAGGCCATAATTTTATTCCGATTTTCCTTAATTTAGTTCTATTACGAGCTTGGGGACTGTCTGTGTTAGCCAAGTGAATATACACCCCCTGCCCATAGGCTTCCATCTCTTTACGCAACTTGATGTAAAGCAGGTGAACAAAATTAGTTTCCTCCATATTGGTACACATACTTCTGGAGCGCCTAAAATGAGCTAATGACACACTGTGCATTTTCAAATGCTTTGTATCAGTAATGATACCATCCCATGATGGGTAAGCAACTATAAATTTAACAATGGTCATGTTTCCCCGTGATGATTAGTCTCTCGTGCCATTTTCCTCTTTTCCAATATAAAAGACGAGAATATCGGTCAGAGACCGAAGACTTATCGATCGAAAGTTAGGGGATGCCCCAAAACAGAAACTACGGTTTCGATTCGAAAAATTCTGCAAACCCAAACTGGATTGTTTTGAATAGTTTTCAGCCAATATCAAAAATGTAGGAAACAATAGCCAACTCCCCATGTCGTCGTCGAAATACTACTCGAGGAAATACTTTTATGAAGAATTCTGCAAATCCGAACTGGATTGTTTGATTAGTTTCCAGCCAATAGCCTATTTACCAATCTTATATTTTGTGTCAAATACAACGGCGCTAACCCGGGTTGCGACGGCTATTCAAACACAGCCTAGCGATATTTTGGTGAGGAATTCTGAAACCCCGAACCTGATAGTGGGATATGGACATTGCTTAAACTTTAAAGAGTAATTATAAGTAACGAGGTACGATCTCGCGGCATGTATCCTTCGCTCTAACTCAATAGCATGGAAAATTTCGCGAAGGAAACTTGCGCATCGCGACGACGTCAAAGTTACAAGAGAGATATGGACAATGCTTAAAGATTATTCACGAGATACGATCTAGCGGTGTGTATCCTTCGCTCTGACTCACTAGCGGGAAAACTTGCGCATCGGACACGCACACACACATTCAGCGCGTCTCGAAAATCTCTCGCTTTGTAAAAATCCAGACCTCTTCATCACTAATTAAATAATAACTCGCTAATTATACGACATAATTCATCCAAAATCAATAGGCTCCTGATCCGAGATATGATGAATGCACATGCAAAATTTGAAGCAGATTCAACCTCGCTTTCGTGAGATATCGCGTGTATCTAGCAGACAAACAAACAAGCAAACAAACAGACAAATACCTATCAACATACTTACCGATCTTAAGATCGATAAGTAAAAAATCACATGCCAATTAGAAATCTTAGATATGAAGTTTTTCAAAGTTAACATTATTAATTCTCCTTCAACAAGAACAGAACTTACCATCAAATTCGAATTCTATTCTTGAATTGTCTGCCCATGGCAATAAAGGTAATTCCTTATCCCATGCTCGTGATATATGACTCAACAAAAGATTAGTCATTCGTCTATGAGCATACATATTCCAATGGACACCATCATTAGCTCGTCTATTAATAAAGACATTGTGTTTCATGAAAAAACATATATGTTTCCACCCACAACTTATGTAAGACCATCATTATTAAGCTTCGTGTTTGTTCAAACAATATACTTAGAAAATTAAAAGCTGAGAGTACGTGAGCAAATTATTCATTGGTTTAAATAAGAGCTAGGTCTATTTGTGTTCATATATGACTATCTTTGTGTCTGAACATGAGTAATGTGAGAAAGGCAATGTGCCATGCTCATTTGAAAGTGAAGAACAATGATACCATAGGCCCAAGCAATAAGAGTTTAATTGACGGTCATGAAAACAATACAGTTGTGGGAAATTTCACATGATCAAATTTTGATCAATTGTGCACGTGATTGCCAATTTTGCACAAAAAATGCAAGTCTGTCTCCAACGTCGAGGAGGGCATTTGGAATATATTCTAGAGCGAACATACGATAATTTTTGTGCAAAACGTCTAGATTTCCGAAACGTTTGGGTACAATCATACACAAACAGAAATTTAAGTGTAGATAGAATAAAATAATCTACCTAGTTCTCGGAGAAATAGTCATAAAATTTATTGGTTCTGTTTTTTGGGTCACCCAGTTCTTTTACAATGATACAGAATATACAAAGATGTTTATCTTATACATGAATTAGAGAAAGGTTGTTAGCCAGTGAATGAAGTTAATTACCATTATGACAAATATATTATACGGATAATAATTAACAATAACAATTCTGATTACCTGTGAAGTTGATGTCGGAAATGAAAATGCATATCTAAAACATCAAAACTGTAACGACTAACAATGTTATAAGCGAAATAGTTTCCTCTGAGAATGTCTAATCTCAATAAATCTCTGAACTTTTCAGCATCTGGTGTTAAAAATCCTCCCTTCATGTTTTCACTAACCTGTCAACAAAAAATGCAAGGTTTATTTTATCTGAGTGGATAGAAATAGCTACTAAATAAGCATGGCCCATTTATCATGCATGCTTCCCGTATACAGGTCATATCAAAGCGGTGTGGGTATGTGACAAACCAAGCTGTAATGTTATCCAATTATATTATATGGATATCCTCCTCAGTAACATGCCAAGAATACCACACCAAATAAGGATCTGCTATCCAGACCTTGCACACATTCATATAGTTTGTATAGTTTCAAATTCATTACAGTTGAAATAGGGACAGACATATGGTCCCAATTCAATTTCAAATTGAATATATCCATTTAATATAGAAATCACCAAGCATATCACAGTGAGGCTGCCAATGGAATGTTAATTTAACAGAAAATAATTATCAGATTTATTTTGGAATTTGTTTTGAACATACCGGTAATTAACTATATACAATATATTATCATACTGGTAATGCAGTTCTCCAAATAACCAATGTGTCATGTGGTAACATTTCCTTCAAGCGTTTGCATAATTTTTCAATATTCTCTCTGTATTCATTCATTGAATTGTCGCCATACCTAAAAATCAATCCATAATCATTATAAATGCTGATGTAAACAATAATTTCAAGAACTGAAATCATTCTCAAAATAATAAAACAAATAAACCAAACCATCAACCCAAATGAAAGAAATAAATTGATATATTTTTTGATATTTGAATTAAACCTATCAGTATCAGCAGATGAGAAACAACAAGCCAGCTTATTCTTAAAAATACAAATGTTCATTTGATCCTTACTATAATCACAGAAAGGGTCCAGCTATAATAAATATCTTGGATTGACGAGTATTAGGTAACTTCAAGTGAGCTAAGATCCACAAAATGATTCCGAAGCATAACCAAAACATTTATAAATAGAGACCCAACACAACACGAAATCCACTGGATGTATACATGAAAAAAATTAAAAAATAGATGTAAATACAACACCTTTGAGTGATGATACTTATACTATTGGCTTATAGGATGGGTCTCCCTATCTGTGTGCTCGCACTACCGTGTTATTTAACACACGTTAACGAAGTAGAACCCTACTGACAGAGGTCAAAAAGCACATAATGTATTGTAATGCCAATTTGGATGAAGATTTACATCCAGGGGGAAAGGAAAGCCTATAAGACAACTTAATCATATGGCGAACCACACCCCCTCGTCCGTTTACCAGTCCATGTCGGGTATGGGGTTAGATAGCCAGTTAATTGTTTTCAGAATTGCTCAAAATTGAAATCAGAAACAGATAAAACAAAAACTAATTTAATCCAACTACCTACTGATGTCCCATAAACATGAATTGAGAACCAAAACGTCAGGGCAAACCGTTCTCCCTTTCTCAATATCTTTCAAAATAGATTCCACATATTTATTATATACACGGGTAAGAAAATGAAACCTGAAAAAGAAAAACAAGAATAATGTAAAATGCATTCACCAACCTCCCCGTATATTAGATCGATCATCGATTAAAGAATGCTGTAGAAACCTGTTGAGATGGTCTTGAATAAAAGTGTGAATTAGTTCGACAAAATATACATGCTATGATATATGTCATTTGAAAAAATAATTTAATATTCATTATAGGTCTTGATGTTTGTAAAACGAAAAAGTTTCACATGTGCAAGTAGCACAATTAAACACATGGTATGTTACACCAAAAAAATTTGACCC